GGCAAATGTGCGGCAAAGACCCATCGAGAGGGAGGGTTAGCTGGGCATACAGCTAGGGCAAGACTATAATGATTTACAGCCCTTAGTGTAGTTGTAGAATATACATTTCTATCATTCTCTGAAGCCTTTCGAGCCCTCTCGGGGCATCTGCGAGTCCCTGCCCAACAAATGGTCCCGCGAGAGGCCTTCCAGACCTACCCGAAAAGGGTATATTTGGCGCGAACAAACAACGCGCGCGGAAATGCGATGTTCAGTTTCTTATGCAAGGCACTGTAATTCAGAGAATATCGGTAGGCAATAGATTCTGCCTCAATCTGTTGTAGAGGGTAGTTACGAGCCTATATTACGCCATTCGCGGTAGGAATAAGCATGACATCGTGCTGCCCGATTGCGTATACTATATAGGGTCGTGCGCTTCGTGCGTAAACCCGGACCTCGCATGTGCATCCGACTTGTTCCTCGGAATCTTAGACCATGTCAGCTCGGTTCTCTATAAAGATGTCAAGGCGATTCACCCAACATTTAATTCGGTCACTTTCAAAGCAAGCACGGATCTGTACACATGCTTGCCACCGCAGTGCCGTTCGGACAGGACTGATGGTCCAGACTTCACCGAGAAGGCACTATGCTACGCCTCCTCCTCAAGTGAGCACCAGGTACGCGCCTCGGTTTGCACTCGATAGGATGGGAAAAGGATATCGATAGGCAGATCTTCCTACGACTCTGTCGCTCGTGATCCTACCTTGCGACGCGATTTGTAGTAGCGAATGGCTGTCACAGTCGAAATATGACGCCCTGGCGGAGTCGACCATGGAGGAGTTGCTGGATCGACTGGAGAACCTTTTGGACGAAGTCGACGACCCCGATTACGAGGTAGAATATAGTGTGCGTGGTGCAACTCTCACACCGTTCCTGCTAACCTGATATCCCAATACATTAGAGTGGGGTGCTGACTCTGAAACTGGGACCGCATGGGACATATGTCATAAACAAGCAGCCTCCGAACAAGCAAATATGGCTATCCTCACCGCTTAGGTGAGTCAATCGTTTCGATGTCTCGACCATATCGAGGTTTATCTCTTGGACAGCGGGCCAAAGCGCTACGATTACGCGAAGGACGAGTCGAGCGGTCAGACTGATGACTGGATATATCGGCGGGATGGTCGCACCATGGGATCGCTGCTGAACGAGGAACTGAGCAACGTCTTTGGACGTGGCATTGATCTGGGCATACGAGAGATTTCCAAGTTACGGGTGTAGGCAGGTCCACATTCTTATGTGGAATTGATACTCGCCTATTTCTTTTCAAATCGATGCCTGTTGCTCCCGCGGATATGCAGCCTTCTAAAGGGTCATATCGCGAAAGCAATGTTTACATGGAATTATCCTGGATCGTGCTGTCATGTAGCACTTGCTGAGTAGCCGTGATGATGCTGATCCACGTGCATCTTGGAAGGCATTATTACTCATTCTGCAAAGAACGATACAGAGTCTGGGAAGAAGAGAGAAGAAAGCGGCCTAAACTGATACATAATACTGGGCATGATGCAGAGCAATGATGATGATGATGTGAAAGTTGAAGTTGCGCGAGGATGCCGATGGAAATGCGAACTCGAGAAAAAAATGCGAGGACGGCGCATATTATCGCCCATAAATATAGCAGACTGCGAAAGCCTATCAGAAGCTGTAACTATGGAACAATACCGAGCATTCTACGCACTCGTATTATGATAACTCTACCCCATTCATTATGAATTGTGGCTTCAGGTACCTTCCGTCGACTCTCGTCTTCTGCTGAGAACTAATGATCGCAGCAGTCTATAACAGAAAGGCGGGATCGTTAGGAGACTTTGTCGGGTAGAAGAATGGGTTCGTCTTACCTGTTGCTCTCCTCGTATCTCTCTTTCACCCGAAGTCCTTCTGCCGTGTCTATACCCTCCTTTTCTCCTTGTATATCTAGATTTGTATGCCGATGCAGATGTCCGTTGCGTTCGACCATGATAGGCCTGTCGGACAATCGCAGTACATCTTGTTTGGCTGGGCAGCTGGTAATAGAAGGGTGCGGTGGATATGATTGCATATCACTTCTGGAGTGCTGGGATGGCGACGGCATAAACAATAACCTATGCTGATATTCCGCATGCAAGTCGTGAAGTAACGTGTTGGACGCCCTGTATCGCTCAGAGGTCTCCCGCGAATACTCAGCAGTGCGACCGTCATTGTCATCCAACTGCCATTCATCCACCTCATCGTCTTCGTCGCCAGAGTCTGCATCTAGTGGTGCCCACCCACGAGACGGTCCGTCCAAGCTGGGTGCTGCTGTTCTGCGCCGTTTCATGTCGCGCTGGGAATAGTCGGATGAGGATGGTATTAGTGGCTCTTCAGGTGGCGGCGGCGGAGTGATAGGGCGGGCGCGTTTCAGCATATTCAAACAAGAGCGGCTAAATATCAATAATATGACGGTGTCCTCGGCCAGGTAGATGTTACAGGGAGGAGAACCAGGCAGGGCAGTCTGAGTGAGGGAGTGCGCGTCCGCGACTACTGTCCGCCGTCCGTAAGAGGAAATCCTCAGAATGGGTAGCGTTACGTAAGTGGCCAGGGAAGACGTGTTCGCGGTCAAGCGCCCACTGCCAGTTGCATACTGAAGCCTGTCTCCATTAGCGCTATCACTCCTTTGGCTTCACTATGGAGGACGTGGACGTCTTTGCGGCCATGGGCATTTCAGGTTTTGGGAAGACCGCCACAAAGAAGACGCTGGACCCCAAGCGTTTCGACAAAATGAAGCGAGAGGAGGTATGGTCGTCTGCTATTTGTTGGTCAGCGGAGGTTGGACGTTCTTTCTAGGCACCCTTTTCTACCTTGGAAGGGTCGGATTTTAAGCAAGGGGCGAGCAACGAGCCTTCGATCACGTCTGGGCCTTCACAAAGTACGAATGAACTAGAGGAGGAGCCAGAGTTTGATCCCGATGAAATGGGTCCTCCTCCTCCGCCACGGTCTAGTTTCACGCACGGGGAGGAGCTCGAGTTTGACTCAGGCGGGCTGGAATATGAGAGCGCAGACGCACCCCAGTTTCCCACTACCCACGAGCTTGTTCTGAAAGACCATACCAAGGTCATCTCCGCCCTTACCCTCGATCCATCTGGTGCAAGGATATTATCCGGTTCGCACGATTACGACTGTAAGCTGTGGGACTTCGGAGGAATGGACACGCGCTGTAAGCCTTTCAAGACTTGGGAACCTGCTGGCACTTACTACGTAGGTCTTTCTGTCTACCCAGGCTTTGTTGAAGCGTTGAATGATGATTACCTTCGCCACCCTAGGTACACGACGTGAAATACTCTCATGATGGGCAATGGTTTCTGGTCATCTCTGGCACGCTACAGCCCAAGTTGTATGATCGTGATGGAGAGGAGCAGTGAGTGTTCCCGAGGACAGCTTACTTCTGAATAGTCTAACCTGACAGCAGTGCTACATATATAAAGGGTGATCCCTACATACGCGATATGAAGCATACAGCGTACGTACACAAATCCTTTTCAGTGCTATGCCTGATCTATCACGTCGTATAGCGGTCATGTCGGCGAGGTACTCTCCTGCGCATGGCATCCGAAGGACACGCAATATTTCATCACCAGCTCTGCCGACTCTACGATACGGTATGTGCAATGACACATGCTCGTGAAATCTGTCTGACACAAACAGGATATGGGATGCCGAAAACAAGCGCAAGCACAAGTCGATTATTGTAGTCAAGTCAAAAGAGAGGGGTGCCCGTACCAAAGTCAATGCTTGTGCGTACTCTCCGGACGGCAATCTGATCAGCGGAGGTATGAATACTGCTGTTGTTTTTGAGATTCGAGTTGCTGACTTTTGGGTAGTTTGTCTCGATGGGGCCCTCCACATCTGGAAAACGAACTCAAATTTTGTCCGACCGGACATGAGTATAGAAGGAGCGCACGGTAAATCAACCGAGACCGGGTCGCTCATATTCTCGGTTGACGGGCGTACAATCCTTACTCGAGGTGGTGATGACACTGTGAAATGTAAGTCTCTTCAACGAGACGGGTTGCTAATCAGTCAAACTGAACCACTTGTTATGAGTGTGGGACCTCAGGTCCTTCAAGAAGCCAGTATCAAGCCGCTCAGGTCTGACAACGTTGTACCCCACCACCAACGCAGTCTTCAGTCCAGACGAGAAATATATTGTGACAGGCGCGGGCGCGACACAGAAAGGCGGACCAGGCAGACTGCTGTTCCTGAACAGAGAGAGCTTGGACACTGCTCGTGAGATAGAAATGGAGACGACCCCAGTGAAAGTAACGTGGCATACAAAAATCAATCAGGTAAGAACTTTTCGTCACGTACTGGCACAGATATGCACGGTTAAGAATTCCCTTCCAGATCGTAACAGGTCTCTCGAATGGATCTATCCATGTGCTTTACTCTCCTGTCACGTCTATCAATGGAGCCAAACTCTTGCTCAATAAGGGCCCGCCGAAGAAACCTACCATCGAGGATATGTCGGACGCCCTTGCAGCGCCGACTATCATTACCCCTCATGCGTTGCCGATGTATCGCGAGGGCGACGATGGGCGAGGCAGCAAGCGGAAGAGGGAGAAGGAGAGGATGGATCCAAGGAAGAGCAAGAGGCCGGAACTGCCGGTGACCGGACCAGGGAAGGGTGGACGGGTTGGTGCGAGTGCAACGCAGCACGTCGTCCAGAATTTGGTACGGAACAATACCAGGGACGAGGATGTGAGTGCCGAAACTTTGATTCCTGTATTGACATTATGCTGGCTCTGCGACACTGGCATCTCACTGCGCAGCTCCTGTTTATGGCGCACCCTGAGACAGTCGCGGTCTCTCCGAGCCGGGGCTCGTGGCTGTTCCCAGATCTGGTGCCGGGGGTACCTTTGGTTTCTATATTTGATCGGAGGTGGCTTCAAGAGTCCATCTGGACCATCTGTGCTTCTTTGCTACTCGAATGTTGTTCGAATGCTGACGATTTTTATGCCCTCTAGCCCCGCGAGGCGTTACTCAAGTACGCTCAGCTTGCAGACGAGGACCCGCAATGGACGGCAGGTAAGCGGCTAGCGTATCTGTACTCCAATGTTTGCTGAAGATGGCCCGTTGATGATTCACGCGATCGTTGTTTGGTCGTGTTTGTGTGCTCGGCTGTTGCTGACGTGGCGGATATTTCCGGAATTGGTTCTCACAGCATGGCGACAAAACCAGCCCAAGCCCGTGTTTGCAGAGGTCCCGGAGGAGGAAGAGGAGGACGCGAGCAAGTAGATAGTGCCGATACGTATTGTGTACGAGTAGCGAGTGCGATAAACCGCAGAGCAAGGGAGGAAAAAGGCCAGAAAACGGTGTGGAAAAGGATGGTCCCTGCGCGGGAGATCGAACCTTAATTCCGCGCAGGTATAAAGACCTAGCCCGCTTCGGAGTCCCCCCTGTTCCCCCAAATCTTCCCTTGCTCTCTCTGAGTGACTGCGTGACCGTCACGCGACCATGGACGCAGCGCTCTCGGACAACACGAACAACCAGACGCTCTCTTTCACCAATGACTCTGTCGACGTCGTCGTGCCTAGCCCCGAGTCACCCAACACGCCTGTCTCGCACGTAAATGGAGTTTCGTCCAAGATTGACATCGATGGGGCCGCTGTTGAGAGTGACGCGCGACACGAACCCGCGCCGACCAAAGTTGAAATGGTCGACGACGCGTCGACGCGTCCTTTGAATGGCTCGCCGCAAGCTCCAGGTACGTATTGTGGTTATTTGGTTTGCTTTTGGCGGTTATAAAAACGCGTCAGAATCTATCCCAATAAATCCTCCTAAAGGAACTCCGCCACCGCCTACCGGTGAGCTTTTGGATGACGTGAGAATGGCGGAGGAGTCAAGCTCGAATGGTACTTTGAAGGAGCACAAGGAGGAGGAAAAGGTGGACGTCGAGATGGAGGGGGAGACGCCGACACCCGCACCGAACGGTGATATTGCCAATTCCCCTACCTCGATTCCCACTGGGTCGTCGACGACGGCCGTCGAATCCCATTCACATCGCACTCCAGACGACCGGGAGGAAGGGGGTGAACGGCCTGCGAAGCGAGCTCGCAAGTTCTCTGACGCGGATCAGGCCTCAATGGCCCACGTGAGTTCTCATTATACACGCGTCAATAGGAACTTTCTGAAGTTGTTTGTATATTCCTTGCGATGAAGTCTGCCACACCACCGCCCGTCTCCACCAACTCCTCTGTCGCCAACGGCACTGCCTCCTCTCGGCCGCAGGGCCCTTCTACGTTCAGCGCACAACAATATCGGTTCTGCGTCTCCACTATCCGCACGCTCAAAAAGCTTAAGGACGCTGCCCCCTTCCTCAAGCCTGTTGATATTGTCGCTCTTAATATACCTCATTATCCCTCTATAATCAAGCATCCCATGGACTTCGAGACCATCAGTAACAAGCTTGCAGCCTCTAATCCTGCGAAACCCGACCTCAATTCTACCAGTCCTCACTATCACCACGCGGATGAATTCATCCACGACGTGCGGTTGATATTCAAGAACTGCGAAACGTTCAATGGCCCAGACCACGTCATTTCGGTTATGGGTAAGAGGGTGGAGGCGGTCTTTGACAAACAGATCAAACAGATGCCACCGCCCGACGAGGTAACGCTACCTTCAGGCACGTGTTGTATATACCCTCTCACACAGTTTCATAGCCGAAGCCGACGATAGTGAAGAAGCCGTCGCCGATTCCTCCCCCAGCTCCTGCTGCGTCCAAGAAAAAGTCCGCTGTTCGTCGACCCTCCACGTCGGTTCCTGCTATCCGGCGTTCGGAAGAAAGTATCAGTAGTCGACCTAAACGAGAGATTCACCCCCCTCCTCCTCGCGACTTGCCCTATGCTGATGGTCCGAAGCGACCTCGCAAGTCCAGGGTACCTCGAGACGACAGGACGGCAGAGCAGCTGAAATACTGCAGCAAGATCCTGACCGAACTGCACCGAAAGCAGTATTATGACATCGCCAATCATTTCTACGAGCCCGTCGGTACGTGCGCCATATGCGTAGTAGCCAGTCTCATTCGCTGAATGAATGTATAGATTGGGAGAAGCTTGACATCCCAACCTATCCTAAGATAATCAAGGTTCCCATGGATATGTCGACCATGCGTAAGAAGTTTGAAGCCCATGAATACAAAACAGCTCGACAATTCTACGAGGATTTCAAGCTCATGATTCGCAACTGTTACACCTTCAACCCCGTGGGGACTCTCGTCAATCAGGCGGGCGTAGAGCTGGACAAGCTCTTCGATGAGAAATGGAAGGGTCTGCCACCATTGCATGAAGGGAGTGACCTGGAAGACGAAGAGGAAGACGACACCGACGACGAGCGTGCCCGTAAGTCCTTTCCACTGATTTGAATGTGTGGGGCACCTGGTAACACGGGCAAATGCGTAACCAGGCGCCATCGCAGAGATGGAGAACCAGATCGAGACAATGAAAGCCAATCTTGCAGGACTCAAGGCTAAACCGCCTAAAGAGAAGAAAAAGAAGGAGAAGAAAGAGAAACCTGCTCCTGTCGCCTCTTCGTCGAAGGCTGCCGGCAGGGTCTCCAAGCAGTTGTCTTCGAGCAAGAAGAAGAGCAAGAAGGCAGCTATCCCTGAAGACGATGTCCTCTCCTTCGAGCAGAAGAAAGACCTCAGCGAGACTATCCAGAAACTTGATGGGGCGAAACTTGAGAAGGTCATTCAAATAATCCATGAGGGCGTTCCTGAGATTCGTGACGTGAGTAACTATATCTTACTATTGTTTTATTTCACTTCATATCGCTGCCCACCTCCGCAGAGCACGGAGGAAATCGAGCTGGAGATTGATCTATTACCAGCTGCGGTCCTTACGAAGCTCTACAATTTTGTTCTGCGTCCTCTCCAACGCAATGCCGCGCCCAAGCGAAGTCGAACCGGGAAGGGGACTGGTACTGGCGGGCTGAAGCGGAAGAGTATGGATGAGGACGTGGAGACGGAGAAGATTCGTCAGCTTGAAGAGCGTATGCGGCTTTTTGAGCAGGGCGGAGCCGCTAATCTCGGTGGCTCTGGGACCAGGGCGGACATGAGCGACCATTCCTCCGACTCCAGCGATGGTTCCGACAGTTCTGGGAGCGATTCGGAGTAATTGGACATAGGTCGTGTCGTGTAGAGCAGGTTGTGCATTTACTTTTCTTTATTCTAAGTCGCGTTCTTCAGTTGTGCTTTGTCATTTCTTTCTCCCCATTGTCATCTTATACAAGACAAGCATATGTGTAGTAGCTCCTTAGTACAACAAAATCCCCTTTTCTGATATCAGTCAGACCGCAATATTAATCTTCAATACGGGCTCCCGTGGGGACATAATCCCATACATTCTGCACCCGCCATACCTGGGACAGGATAGGTACATATCAACGAAATGACTTTTTCTTGAAGTTCTGCCAACTGGAACGCTTTTCCTCCGGAGCAGGACGAGGCCGCTGGCCTGGAGAGGAACGTGCAACAGGTGAGACAGCGGTGGACGCTGCTACATTTGCGTCCGAAGACTGATTTTCGGAGGTAGTTTGGAGAGACCCCGCCGGTTGCTGCAATGCTGGGTCAGAAACCGTAGCCCATCCTCCCTTAGCGGGCGTAAGGGGTGCAGCTCTCGCCCAGCCGCCGCCGCTAGCGCCGGAGGGTGTTGCAGGAGGAATGGCAGATGGAGTAGCAGTCTGCGAGGGAGGAGCCCATCCCGAGCGGAAGCTCGATGCCACAGAAGGGTTAGATGGTACCTCGACCTGAGATAGTGTCGGCCCAGAACCGAGAGACATTTGCCCTGCAGAGCTGAAAGCTGGGGCAGGATTCGAAGGCGGTCGAGGTGTGCGGGGACCTGCCTGATCAGCCCGAGCTGAAGGTGCTACTCCAGAGGAGGATCCGCTCACGTCCTGCTGGACACGGGAGGGATCCCCCTGGGGAGCGGGAGATAATGTCGCCCATCCGGATTTCTTGAACCCTGTACTGGGCCCCGCAGTCTCAGAAGGTGCAGGCGCTGCAGCCGCGGAAGCTAGTGCCGGAGGTTTGGCTAGCTTTATCCCAGCCGCAGCAGCCAGCTTGCGCATTTCTCTCTCTTCTCTCTTCCGCTCTTTTTCCTTCCTGCGATCCACGTCTTCTTTAGTCCCACGACCTTGCATCAGCTTTTGCGCGGCCTGCATGTCTCGGGCGCGGGCTTTGTGATGGTGAGCGTACGAATTGGTATGTTCGTCATATTGCGCTACATTTTTGAACTGCTTGTCGCAAAGCTCGCAGTAGAATGGGCGGAGCGTGCTCGATATCTCTTGTTGAAGCGCTGCTTTCTTTGCTGCTGCATCCTAGACGCAATATGATTAGACACGATAGAAACTAGATGACAGCAAACACGCACTTCCCGTGCTTTGCGTTGTTCTTCCGACTCCTTCGTCATCCGCTCCGAGTCAAGCTCCCGTCGTTGAGATACAGTTGTTTCGATCATGCGGACATCTTGAGTTACTTTTCCAAGGCCGGTGGAGTCGTTCTTGATTGTGAAAGGAATTGGGTCAATGCGACCTGGCGATCCAATTCAGAAAAGCACACCGCCATACGGATACTTGACGTACCGTCGCCAGACAGTCCGAGAGGCTGGCCTTCGGCCCACCCCATCTTGGCCAGCATGGCAAAGCCCTTATTTGTGGACTTCAACCTGGTCTCCACGGTGATGACTTCTCGAGTAGGACCTCTGTGGTATTCGTCATATTTGTCTATGCTCTGGTCGACGTCCATACGATCCACTGGAGACGGAGAGCGCGACACAAGCGACACATCGTCGTCATCGCGGTCGGAGTGTCCATCTTCCGACCTTGAACGCTGGAGGAAGGTGGGGAAGGGAGAGGCAGTACGGGCGCAATTTAGGCCAGGGAAAAGCAAGCAAAGGGTACCTTCAAAGTAGAGGCTTGTTCTGGCCCGGGCTCGGGTCTATCAAGGGGAATTGCGTTCCAGCGTGCGATTGATTCAGCAGACATGAGCGGCGTCGAGGACCAGTATGAGACAAGCACAAGCTGAGACAGTGGCTGAGGCGGCACGGTGACCCATAACACAAAGCAGCGCCAAATAAACGGGTCACCTGATCTGAACGCGAAGCCTGATGAGAACGCGTCCCGCTTCCGCCGCCGCCACTCCTGTCTCTCTCTCCTTGTCGCCGTCCGACATGAGCTCAGATGGCTATTTCTCCGACGAATTTGATGCGTCGCTGTTGAACCAGGTCAGCGCTATAGAAGCTGCCCACCTGTCGCCAGCCAACTCCCCGAAAAAGCTACCCCCTACACCATCAGCGCCTGCCCGAGAGGATTCGGACTTTGACTTCTCCTTCGACGATTACGGCGAGGTCGAGGCAGAGCTACAGCGTATAGAACAGACTGCGCTTAAGAAGCAGAATTCTGTATTACATGACCCCGGAGCCGGCCCCAGCAGACAACCCCTCGCCCGCACGGCGTCGAGAAATACTGTGCAGACCACTCTCTTCGGCGATGTCTTACAGCCTCAAGCCTCATCGAACAAGCCGCACCCCTCCACCAGGGCTCCTCTGCAGCGGGTGAAGTCCAACTCTCGCAATCCTTTCGGCAAGCCCGCCAAGAAGGTCTTGCAATGGGATCACACAGAGTTCGCCAAGACCGGCTGGAAGAGGGGATCCAAATTGAAAGGGAAGGGAAAGTTTCAAGCAGACGAAGATGAGGAGGATGAGGAGTTGGTTGAGTTTGAGCAGTTTCCTAATCCCGTGGTTTCTGGTACGCAGTCCCTTGCACACTCGTTGCCCACCATTGCTCACAGCTTTTACTCGGTAGTGGGGTAAGTGCTGCAACCCCGCTTCGTTAAGCTGAGTATGTTAACAACATCTCGCTTCTCCGTCTATATAGTCCGGTAAGCCGTGAGTTCTGCAGACGGAATTTCTGCAGGCGCTGACGTCCAGTATCACCAGCCTCCGCCGATGAAACTGCAGCCCGACCGACTGGCTATGAAGACCTGGATATATCCACTTAATAAACCGAAGCGGGATTATCAATTTAATATCGTGCGGAACTCGCTATTCGAGAACACGCTTGTCGCTCTCCCAACGGGTCTTGGCAAGACCTTTATTGCAGGTGTCGTCATGCTGAACTGTAAGTATATCACCTGTCCTCGCCACCCATATCCTCCCTGAATCGCGGCTGCTTTTCGCGTCTTGAAGTCTATCGTTGGTTTCCGGAAGGGAAGGTGGTCTTTGTTGCGCCAACGAAGCCACTTGTGTCACAGCAGATTGAAGCCTGTCACAAGACATGTGGAATACCAGGAACAGATGCAGCAGAATTAACGGGTGCCGTTGCCACACACATTCGGGCCAGACACGTAAGTAGGGCTAGTTTATAATCTTAATGGACTGCGACGTGAAGTTAACGAGCTATTCTCCGAGTGCAGTGGGGGCAGAAGCGCGTCTTCTATATGACTCCTCAAACCTTCATGAGTGACCTTGCAACTGAGAGGTGTGATCCAATGGACATAATACTGCTTGTCATTGGTACGCCCAACTACCTCCTGCTTCAGGTGTCGATATGGCTGCATCTTACGTTTTTGTATCTATTCTACAGATGAAGCACATAAGGGCACGGGAGACTACGCATATGCCCAGGTTATGCGGTATATGATGGCGAAGAACCCCCATTTCCGAGTCTTGGCACTTACGGCGACGCCTGGCGGCAAGCCGGAAGTCGTCCAGGACATAGTCCGCGCATTACATATCAGCAAGATTGAAATTCGAGACGAGAATAGCATCGACCTCCAGGGATATATGCACAAGAAGGTACGTGTGCAAAGATACTACAGTTTACAGCCAGTTTCAACTCAGTACATACACCAGATAACGGAGCAACATAAGATTGTCATGAACGAGGACATTGTCAAGATACGGAACCTGCTGGCTAAGTTGATGGATGTAAGCACCTACCGTTGGATCATCCCTCGCGGTTGTTTTGCCTCACCTGTCATTCGCAGGGGAAAATGGGCAAGCTAAGGCAGGCTGGTTTGCTCCGTGGGAGCCCCGACCCGGTCATGTTGCAACCATTTTCATGTAATTTAGGGATGCAAGACATCCAGAAACGGCCCGATCGACAATCACTAACATGGGCATATCCCGCCCTGAAGGTCCTAGGACAACTGGCCCGAGCAATGGGTTACCTAGTGAGTACCTCTGTGACCAGCTCATGTATGCCACTGACCTGTATGACTCTACGTGGTCCAGCTCGAATGTAGCATCAGCATGTGCTACAAGTGTCTTCAAGAGATCTCGGGAGGAAGTAATCAGGAGACTGGCAAGCAAGCATCGTCAAAGCAGGCCCAAAGCAGCTTACAGAAGGACCGAGTCTTCCAAGAACTCATGCACGAAATGGAGAAACAATACAACAGGGGCCTCGCAGTACATCCGAAGATGGAGAAGCTGAAGGCACTCTTGATCGAGCACTTCGTGAAAGCGACCGAGGAGCCAGCTGATGATCAGGATGGCCCATCGCAGACGAGGGCGATGGTCTTCGTCACTTACAGAGAATGTGTCGACGAAGTCGTGGAGTGGCTTAATCAGGAGAGCCCCATGATCACAGCCACGAAATTCGTCGGACAGGGAGCGGACAAGCAGGGTAACAAAGGCTTTGGACAGAAGGAGCAGTTGGAGGTAAGAGCCTGGCTTGGATGCTGCCCTCGAGCATTCGTTAGAGCTCACCATTGCACAGGTTATCCGGAAGTTCAAAGCTGGAGAGTTCAATGTTCTAGTCGCCACCTCTGTCGGCGAAGAAGGTCTTGATATCGGCGAACTCGATATGGTCATCTGTTATGACGCGCAGTCGACACCAATACGCATGGTTAGTTTCCCCATGTTATCCGCAAGTGGGCTCACTTCAGTGGTCTCCCCAGCTTCAACGTATTGGACGGACGGGACGCAAACGAGATGGCTACATACATGTGTTGGTCGCGGAGAACCGCGAAGAAGCCAACTGGGCCAAAGCCAAGACAAAGTACCAAGAAGTGCAACAATCTATAGTCCGCGGAGAAGACCTCCAACTCTACAGCGATGTTGAACGTCTCTTGCCGGACGACGTGAATCCACAGTGCATTGAGATGGAGATGGACATACAGGAGTACGTCCGCGACACCAAAGAGAAGACGGTCGCTGCTGTTAGTGAAGGCAATTCGCCCCGCAAAAGCAAAAAACGAAAGCGAAACGATGATCCACTGAGAAACGTTCCGGCAGGCGCTGCCTCGGGATTCCTTTCGGTGAGAGACTTGATTGCGAAGGGCGCTCCCAAGAAGCGTAAGAAAAATGCAAAGGGCTTTGATGAACAGGCTGGTGAGGACGACGACGTGGATGCAGAGCTGGAAGGCGGACTATTTACTTCACGTCGATGCGCCTCAACTCCCGCTGCAGAGTCGTCGCCTAAGCCGAAGAAATTGCGAAAGACCAAGACTGCGGTGGAGGCAGCCAAGGCGACGAAGACGAAGAAACGGAAGACTGTAGTGCCCCAGATAACGTCCTCCCAGCTTTCGCGGCGAGGCGAGGACGATTCCGACGACATGGAGATCGAACGAGGGCTTGCATTACAACGACGTCCTTCGCCTCCAGTCGTCAGTCCAATGCCAAGCTCCAGTCCTCCTCGTCCTACCTCCGAACGGGATCAAACTATCCCCTCATCTCCTGATGTCCCTCTGGCGGATATCATAGAGATCGAGAGCGAATCCCCTTCCGAACTGTCCCTCGGATCTGACGATGAGATCTTCGGAGCTGCTGCAATATCGGAAAGTCGAGCCTCAAGTGAGCCTCCACTACCCGCCCTACGCCTGGACGAATGGGAACCCGACGGAGAGGAGGTCGCTGATATCCCGTCTTCCCCTCAAGCTTCTCATGAGCATAACGGGCCCCTTCAAGATATGTCTTGGCTACTTGATGACGACGAAGATCTGCACCTGCAAGTAGCTGATTCATCCTCGATGCAAGACGTTCCTGCAGGAAGAGATGATGAGGACGGCCTGAGGAATCCTCGGGTCGTGAAAGGCAGGCTTCCGCTGTCATCTTCGATAAACCCTGCCAATCCCGGCATGTCACCAATAATAATACAGAGTTCACCCAGCGAACAGCGAGGGACCGTCCGGCGGGATATGCCTCCGCCTCCGTTACCAGTTCGTTTCCAGACGGCTCGGGAAGTATCTGGAGGACACGAGATGGTCATGCCCGAAGCGTCGTTCGCTGTCGGTGCCCTTCGTGCTCGCAGGAAGCGACCCAGGGTTGTAGCTGATGTGGACTCTTCTCCCGTGGCGCCTCGACCGCGTCGTCTGCGCCGTGCTGATGCAGCAGCGACTTCGGCGGATAACGCTGCTCCTATGAAGCAGCGACGTCGCAGACAGCTAGTTGACCCGGGCGCAAGCAGGGTCTGGCTCGATGTCGAAGCTGCTCATTCGGGAGATGAGTCCAGCGAGGGCGAATCTGACGACTTCGAAGAAGTCGCTAATGAGTCAGATCGACGCTTCCTGCAAGAGCTTCCGGAGACTCAAGTGTCACCTTCTTACGACCAGGCAGCGGCGTACCGTCAAAGTTTATTTACTCAAGCGCCAGCACCAGGACTGGGACCTGTTTTCGCTCATAATCCTGTAAGGCAATATCCCTTCGGGCCTGACCGCGGGCGACGGCCGATTCAGACAGAGCTCATCTCGAGCTCTCCACGACAGGACGACGACGTCCGCGACGAGTATGCCATCGGTAGCTTTGTTGTCGATGATGAGGCAGAAATTTCCTATCACGAAGACTCCAGCGAGTTATAGCCGCGCTACCTGACACCAAATAGACCGTAAACTTAAACAGTATCTAATTACTTGTATCTTGACTTCAGTTTATCCATGACAGCAAGGTGCAATAATATTGCTGCCGGGCTTGGCGTCCGTATTCCAGTCGCATTCGCTGACTGCACAGGCAAACGATACGGAATAAATATACACAAGTGAGCATTAGCAAGATTGTAAATGGTAGTACTATAACAGCCCCATCCCATCTTCCTCATCGCCCCATCCACTCGCCGTGACCTCCTCTTGAACGGGGGGTGAATGGCGAGTGTCCATGTCGTAAGGCGGCATTGATTCGCTTGCGTCTTGAGTTGCAGATGCGCTGGTGTCGGCAGCTGTGCCCGCTGATTGTCCAGTAAACCAGGATATCCGCACTTGACCAACAGAGGGGATGTTTGTTCCCTTAGCCAAACCCTGCGGATTGAAAGAATGAGAAGGGAACACGGCAATGGGTCAGTACAAAGTACCTGTTCTGCAGCTCCCCGGGATTTGAAAGACACAACAATGTCACCATTGTCTAGAGTCTCCAAGGATTCCATATGACCGGTGGCCTACGAACATAACGTTAAACCGGAGAACAAAGACCCGAGGAAAGATAGCTTACTTCATACCAGTCCCGTACACCCTGCACGTTTTCACTAGGCGCGCCCTTGATGAGGAGCTTTTTCGGACGGTTGTCTAATTTCAGACTCGTTCTGGGGGGGCCACCACGCATCGCTCCACGATAGAATCCACGACCGCCCCGTCCACGCCCTCTATAGGGCCGGTGGAATGTGCTGCCGTAGCTTGAAGATCCTTCAGAAAGCCCAAGGCTAGCAGCCTAAACATCCATCAAGTCAGATAAATCTCGTATACGATGTAAAAAGCGCGTACCTCTGCTTGAAGCTTCGCAAGTTTGGCCTTGAGACCTTCCGTGCTCTCGCCTTCAGCAGCAGTAGCGACAGCGTGTAATTCAAGTTCCTTGTCCAACCTCTCCTTCTCCTTCTGCTCCAGATCAGCTGGACCGGGGGTAGGCGTCTTCTGTTTCACAGTAGGGGTCAGCGAGGCAGCGTATGGGAGTGATGATCCTGGGCTCGACATAGTCGCCTTTATTTCCTGGCCCAGCTGGCGCAGACGCGCTAAGACTTCTTTCTTCTCCTCTCCGGTGGACGTGGCCAATTTCTCCATCAGCGTCTTTTGTTCGCTAATCTGCTGCTCAAGCAGCTGTTGCTTCGCAGCCAAGGCCGCAGCAGACGATGATGTCGAGGGCTTGCGTCCAGCAGGGGATGCCCCTGATGGCTGAAGACCCGGAGCAGCAGGAGAATCCTCCTTAGTGGACATGTTGGCCACAACGGGTGCCGAAGCTGCTAATAGCCTCTGACCCAGTTGTCCGTGACCCTCCATGGGCCGATGCCAGAACACCTTGACGAAACGATTCCCGAACACAGCTTCCTCCGAGCGCCATGCAGCATGCGCTTCATCATGAGTGGAGAAACTGACCAGGGCCTTCGATGTATGCGTGTCTATCGCGACATTGGTGACAGTCCCGAACTGCTTGAACCAGCCGTTGACCGCGTCCAGGCTGAGCTTGTCCTGCGGGATTTTCTCCACCACCAGCGTTTTGTCGTCTCGTTTCCGTTCGGGTCTGAAATTGTGAACTTCGGCAGAGAACATACCACCTCGTCCACGTCCTCTCATAGCTCCCCTCGACGGACCGCGCATGGGCATGTGCATGGGCATAGGCATAGGCATAGGAAGAGACATTTCCACATCCATCGGCACATGCCCCCGTCCACCTTGCTGACCATTCCGAGTCTGATACACATCTCCGTTCTTGGTCTCTCCATTATCTTCTTCTGGTACGCGCGGCGTTAAATCCTGAATCACAGGCAGCTCCCCTGACGTGGGAGGATTTAACACCTGGCTACCACCGCCCTCTTGCTGCACTCGAGGTAATAGTGGTGCACGATTCATACGACCGCCGCCTGGTGGTCGCATGTCCATCCGTTCGTTGGGGTCATAGGCACCGCCACCACCAAGGGACATAGGACCGAACGGCATCCCGCCCATCTGGCCGTTCATGGGGAGCAGCTGTCCCGGGACGACAGCGTCTTCTCCGTGGCTAAACTTACACATCGCACCGCGAGCACAGTATCCCTTGTCTGTATTAGTCGTTGTGATCAGCAGTGCGACGGGACGGACATGATGGCAAGCTCACGGAAATAGTCTCTGCATATGCCTCTCTTCTGTCCCGGAGGTTGGTACGCCTGTCCAAGCCGCCCATTCATACCTCCCGCCATGCCCATCATCCCAGAATCCATAGGATCTGCAAATTCTCTATTCCCCCTTGGAAATCGCTCCGGCCTGGCTCCCCACGACCCGGTTGATCGATGGTCCCCCCGTCCATTCGAATACCGGGAGAACTGCCCGTCATTACTGACCCTCGCGCTCTTAGCCGGGGGTCGCCCGTCGCGTTCGTCAAAATCGAAGCTTCGCTTCCGACCGCGCTCGGGGGACGGGATGGAGGGGGTTAGTAAACCATCGAGCGGAATAGGGATGCCGTTATCGTTATCCAGAGCGGACCCGGAGGGTGTCGGGGGTGGCGAGGCGGCGGAGTAGGGTAAATAAGACTTGGATCGGAGTGCAGCAAAGAGCTGGTCGATGAATGGCGGGCCCTCTATAATATAAAGCGTGTTAGAGCAAGAGGGGAATCACGCGACGATGTTGGCGAAACGCACCTTTTTCCAAAAACTCCTCCAATTGCTCTTGCAACTCCTTCCGCATCTCCGCCTCTGGCCCAGAATGGCGTAGGAGGGCAATCACATAGTCCGCAAGAGCACCTGGCTCAGCATCACATCTATCGATAAACGTGTATTAGCCCAATTCCAGGTGACTGCAGTCCAGAACGCGACCAACATCAATTACGCACATTGGTTCAAGCGTCCTGACAAGCCATGATCTGAGGTGTCCTTCCGACTGCGCATCAAAAATCATTCGATAAATCTGTTGGACGGACTAGCGGTGCTCGTGCTGGATGACGGGGAACGTAGAAGGACAGCTATTGCGATTACAAGGTCCAGGAGCACGATGGGGTAGAACAGCGTTGGCCGGCAAGTTTACTCGGCAACTGCCGGCTCACCTTCGTCACCTTTGTAGCACTCTTCGATAGTCGTCCGAGATTTCATCGCCATTATACAAACGACTTTGTGATGCTGACAGAAGCGTCAGCTACAGACAACGCTGCCGCCCTTGGACAAGTCGGCGCTGCTCATGGTTCCCTTAGAGGAAGTACGAATGCACATCAGGCGACGTCAGCGGGGACTTGGTACCAACAGGCACTATACGACGGAGCGGATTCAGACGCTTATGGTGGACACAAACCAGGTGGTATTCTCGAAGTATCCTGTCACGTAGAGGCACGAAACCTTGCCATCCGCTGCATTCAAGGGTATAAAACACACGAGTCAAACTAAGTCGCCACCAATCATCTATGATCACCCAGAAGGATAGACGAACTCCGCCCTATCGAGCAGCAACGCTTCCTACCCTACCTCGCCTCCGTCCCGCCACGCAGGGACGCTCCTCCGCTTTGCCGGGACACTCAAATAGGGGCCGTGCAATCGCCAAGCATGTAGTGAGAGACGCAGGAACCTTGCCCGTCAACCGATGCCAGCCATCAGAAATTCCCAGTTACCAACGCAGCGGCGTGAAAACGATCAGACATTCAGCGACCTAGGACCAGCGGTATTGATCCAACCACCGCCGATATACTGCGCGGTGAAAATGTGGTGCAACGAGTTTGTCAGACAGGCCAACTCGGCTAATCCGGTTGACGGAGATGTAGCCAACAAGGAAGGGTAACCAGAAGTAAATCCATAAAGCCAGCGCGAAGTATTCCAACGTCCACATGGTGGGCCAGCCAATTTCATCCCAGCTCCGTTCCGGGAGTGAGCCGACTGACAGCCTAAGCATATCAATCCCCGAGTCAGGGGAAGCCGCGCCCTGACTCGGGACTCGTTGCCTGTAGTGTGAGACGATATCGAAGGTCGGGAGCGCCGCTGTTGCAGACAGAAGAAAGAAGTGCCGGGAATGGGGTCAGGAGGTGCAAGGTGCATCAGCGAGAGGAGCTTGAGACCGGGACGCATGGGAGCCGGAGTCGACGGGGATCAGATAACCATATCATTGAACAACGCAGGCTGGCGTAGAGCAGCGGCATACTGCGAAGTCCCTACGACAGCGGGATCGAAACCTAGCCTGGGGATTAAAGTGTCAACAAGCAGGGCCATGGCTCACCTATGCAGGTCAGTCGATATACGCGAGAAGTTGTACGAGCATCCGCATGAACTCAGAAACCTGATCAAACAAGCAGACCCGCACCAGGAGCTGGGCGAGTCCCGAGGTATGACGGCATTGATAGCCTAACAAGCTCAGACACCGGAATTGTGGCGGTATAAACGATACCTAGAGCGGTAGCAACAACCAGAGTATGGAGGAATTGAGACTTGGAGGGACAGCACGACGAGGGAAGATCCAGAGGCAGGAGGGAGATTACACGAGGGGCAACAGGACGACAGGGTCTTTATAGGTGTGAGCGCATTTGGCTTTCCGACAAGCTGTGATTGGCTAGATAGTTGATTTTCTCACGCTCAGGCTGCGGGGTTTTAGCCGCGTCCAAGTGCTGTCGTGGAGATCCGAGATTACTTGCTAACTCGACGATACATTTTGCGAATATCCAACTAATTTACACCTGTCTGGAAACCCTACCCGACCTATCTACTGCTTGAGATCGAGACCCGGCAATTGGAACATCTAGCAACAGACTTTAGTCGAGGATCCCAAATCATACATGAAACAAATGTTACCTCGAAGATAGCTTCTGCGGGAACACCCCATCCACGAAGGCCTTGAATTCCCAAATCCTGCCTCGTACCTAAAATCACGCCTACGACGGCTCCGGACTCCTCATCGATGATAGGGCCTCCGCTGGAGCCAGGTGTCGGAGGAGGCTCAAACATAAGGTGCGACAGAGCATCATATGTTCCGGGCTGATCATAACAATTATCACTCGAAGCCCACGTAGAAGTCACGCTTAAGTTCACCTTAGCCTCGCGACCCGCGAAGTCGCGGTAACCCACCACCTTCCCCCGAACCCACTTACTCCAGGTACCACCTATCCACGGAACCCATCCCGGTTCGTCAGGCTCTTCGTCCACGACAAAATGCGCTCGAATAACAGCATTCGGATGCACGGGATATGGGGAGACGGGCATCGTCTTCAGCGCCGGCCCACTCTTGCGGAACAGAACCAGGTCTGACCGGTGCAAGGCTGATAGGACTTCAGAGACGGGGTGAAACTCTGTTCCCTCCCGGGACCCAGATATGACAAAACTCCCAGACAACCGAGTTTCCGAGTCAGACGATGAATCGACAATCGGTGTCAACTGGCTATGTCTCAGTAGCGGTGAGCGCCGGATCTGCCTAGCGCAGTCAAAACATAGGTTCTTTCTCTTTTTAAGTCAGGGAAGTACCGGGCGACGTACCTCTTCCAGGGTATGCGCGCAGGTCACCACAACGGACTCCGCCTCATGCTTTCCGGACCCCTGTAAAGCGAAGCCGGACGACAACGTGATCTTATAACTCTCTCCATCTTGAACGCAGTGCGCGATCATGGTAACGCCATCTTCTGCGGCAGACGTCAGGCTGACCTTTCTATGCCTGCCTGGACGGGACTCGTATGGCAGGGCGGTCTGCAGGACGTGCCCACCTCTCTCCATGTACTGTAATACGAGGCTTTCCAGGTTGATTCTGCTTGTCGATGGCCTTTCTGAAAGCTGATTTAGAATCTGAGCATCCAGTTCGGAACGTGCGTTCATCCTCGCTGGACCCAGAGGAGGTTTTGCGACGACGATAGGAGACTCGGCGGTAGCATAGCGTCTCAGATGCGATGCAGAACGCACACAAGCCCGTAACATGTGTAGTAAATTATAGTCTGAAGACTCAGAGTCATTACTCAGACCTCGACGGAGACGTCATGGAATTCTGCCCTTGTCACGGGGGCACGTGAAAGTAGTAACGCGTTTATTGCTTCGATGCTCGGATTCGCGTACAGGCGCGCATGAGTAATCATAAGAGGTCCTGCTTCAAACGGCAACCGTATGATTCGTCGCTCCCAGAGAGCCTACAGGTTCAAGTACCTTACATTGCTTGAATCGCAAGGACTCTGAATCGCAGCAGAATGCAGCATGATTGTTACTCTTCCGACCTCACCTGCGCTGGGTAGAAATACTACTGTTGCCAAAGTTGTCCTGAGGAATAACCACTGACGTACACCATCCTCTGATAATCCAAACAGGACGAAACGTAGAAATGACTACTCTGTTACAAGCACGCTCCATTCACTAGGTATAGAGCCCATTTGTCTACCAACAAGCTCCTGCCAGATAGGCTTCGAGACGGGGCCCATACCATCCGGACCTGTAGGGATAAGCACGTCTTCTCCCATGTAACCGATTCTGTCAACCGGGCTGATGACAGCCGCCGTTCCTGTAATCGACGTAAAAGGTCATGTAAGGTATAGCACGGAGGACAGCGCACCAGTTCCGAATAGTTCAACCAGCCGGCCGTCTTGCGAGGCTTGCTTGACCTCCTTCATCGTGACGGGCCGCTCGGAGACCACCAACTTGTCGGACAAACCCGGGATCTTGTACTTTCCAGAAGCGTGATCCTTTGCTAGCGCAAGTACTGAATCCCTGGTTACTCCCGGCAAGATCATGCCATCCAGGGGAGGAGTGACGAGTTCCGCGGCTAACAGCAAGTCAGCTTACCTCGCCCTGCGCTCAATATACCCCGAATACTTACACCCATCCTCAGTCTTGAACACAACAAATAAGTTCATAGTTCCGACCTGCCAGGATTACCATTAGATATATTCGAAGGGACTTGCGAAACCACTTACTTCCGTGAGGTTGTGTTCAGGGCCGTATAACCATAGATTTTGCTCGTAGCCCAGCTTAGCAGCTTCTTTCTGCGCTACCACACAAGGGGCGTAGTTGGCTCCAAGTTTATATGCACCAGTACCTAAGCAGAAATTTAGGTGAACTGTTCGGTCATATAGGCGCCTTGACTCACCTCCGGGAGCGGCCCGCACATACTCAGTTGTCCCATACAGACCAACAGGTTTGAAACCTCTAGGATAATATGGCCCTACAGGACTGCAGATAACAAAGAGTAATGCGTCTGCCGGTGGGTGGATCCCGATGGCAGCTTCAGTGGCAACTATATGGAGACGACGCAGGTCAGAACAAGTTCGGAGTCCGAGGATCCACCGAGAAGTGCGCACTCATGGTAGGCCGAACATATAGACTGTATCCTTTCTGCTGGGGAATCCAGTGCTTGTCCAAGCGAATAAGCTCCTTGATCAGATGCAATAACGCGTCTCCGTTGAAGGTCTGGTCCAGTTGCCTTTGAGTCAGAGCGAACTACAGTTATGCGAGTAATGTCTCACGGGGAGGGCCACGCGCTGTGCACTGCTGTTCATGCGCTTCATGTTCATATCAGGTCTGAAGAGGGTCACTTTACCCTTTTCGTCCCGGTACGCCTTCATGCCCTCAAAGATGGTCTGAGCATAGTGAAAGACGCTCGTGCTGGGGTACAGACTAAGGGGTCCGTCTATATCAGGTCAAAGACGAGGCATGCTCAGACCCGAACATGCTCTGAGCCGGAGGACTCACAAGGGACGATTTTGGGGGTATCCCAACCCGTTCGAGCGGACCATGAGATAGTCAGCATATGGTCAGTCTGCGAGTCTCAGGTGAGCGACGTCTCCAGCCTAGCAGCGCTGCATAATGCTCCTCACAAATGTATGCCCGAAGACGAGATTAGAAGCAGGGGGAGGGGGGCGCGGGGAGTCAGTCTTTTGGACTTGCAGTCTGGCAGGCTATTATTCATTAACCTAAAGTAAGATCCGCATAGCACATAGCGCATACCTCAATATCCGGCAGAGCAGTGAACTCCCCAGTCATAGGATCCCGGGTAACAGTCGAGTTCCACCGCAGCGTAAATCCCGCATACCGGCCAACCTTCAGTCGGTTAGGGAGCGACCCAGAGGGCATGCATCTCATCCTGAACGACATGGTGGTCAGAGACCAGATCTGAGTCAAGACCGGGCACACTCTTTAGTGAGGTCGGAGATGCGAAAGTGCCAGGGAGAAACGGCCCTTTCGGCCGCTGGGCCGCCCTAAGCGCGTCGGTCACGAGTGCGTGAATCACGCATGTCACAAGTAATGGATGCAGAATTTTCGAAGTCTATGTAACGGACGTGCGTTGCAAAAAGAAAAACATGATGGATTCTATGCGCTCAATGCTATGCAATAATGTTCAAAATCAAATACAGTTGGTGTTCATTACTGACACAGCCTAAACCCCCTTAGCTGTCCTATTAGGTGTGTATGTACTGAGGGACACGCGAAGTCGTGGTAAACCCGCGGTCATAAAGCCTGAGGTTGGCCAGCATATCCACTGGCTCCAGCGTCCGGAGAGGTATCACCGCGACTCGAGTCACGCAGGACAGCACCTTTCGATCGCGACCGCGATCTCTGCTTTTGTAACTTGTGAGGCTGGTGTGTTGAACCTCCTGACGGGGCGCGTTGTGCATATCTCCCTCTGTCAACAGGATCTGAAGGAGGATATTGATGTTGTTCTGACGACAGCGAAGCTGAGCGTTGGCTGAACTCGGAAGGAAGCCGCGGCACGGGCGGAGGCCTAGGAGTTTGGTTTAATGAAGGGGAGTCAGTTCTGGAGAGTCGTCGGCTGGACCGTCGGTTGGTGCTAGATTCAGATGTCGTGCGCTGGTCTGAGGTGCAGAGAGGAGGTCATGATCAGCGGAAGCAGGCACAGAGGCACTTCCATATACTCACGACGTTTTGCCGGCTCCTTATCTTTACTCGCAGATCTCGAGCTCCCCAGCATTATCCAAGAATCGGTGGCAGGTCGGGAATGCAAAGAATCGCCCATAAAAACATTCACTTCACTTGCCGTCTCTTCAGGATAGACAGAAGGCGCTAGTGGGGCCGGTAGCACAATCTGAACATTGTTATGCCTTGAATGCGGAGCCCCCCGAACCGTACTTCGACTTCGGACAGTAAAGGTCGTGCTAACGGTAGATGCCATTGAGGCCGGTCGGGAGCGACTACGACCGGATGGTACTCGAGGTCTCCGCTGCGACGTCTGCGAATGGATATCGTCCTGGTCGGAGATGGCGGATGCAGATGACTGTGGGGAGGAGGAGAATGTGGGAGGCGACGGCGTCCCGTAGGAATCAAGAGAACTGGTCGATGCATTAAGGCCCATGTTCACAGACGAGTCGCGAGAGAAAGGAGGCATCGGGGGAGTCAAGCTAAGATCTTCGATCGTGGGGGCGGATATATGCGTAGACGCGTCCTCGGATAACCGTCTCGTATGTGTTGTCTCCTCCGTGTGGAAGCTTCCCTGGCGGGAGGGCGACTTCCCCGGGGAACTCGGTATTAGCGAGACGTCACTTCCGCTGGGGAAGGATCCATGGCGAACTGAAAGGTGGGTCGGCTCGAACCACGTAGCAGGTCTACTGCTGTCACGATTTGCGAATGAAGCGGCATGCACCTGGCGATGATGAACCAAAGGTTGAACAGGGGGAAGAGGCGCCCGCTTGGGACGGCAGAGCTTCCATACGAACTGCCACAAAACGAAGGCAAAGATTATTCCTCCAACGACCCCACAGACTACGGCAATGATAATTGTCGTATTTGAGCCAGACCCATCATCTCTGGCGTAGAGTCGAAGGTGATTAATAGTTCGGCGATGAGGGGAATATTCTTGCTGAGCGGTCATGAGGAAACGAGCGACGTAGTGCGAGGGTAGCGTTTGAACGAGCGTATAATGGTACCACAACAGGACCGCAGCCTTCAGGACAGCTGACGATCTGTCGAGGCCGTGCATGCGAGAGTAATTGTCCAGGTTGAGATTGCTGTCAATTCAACTTATTTATTACGGTCACGCACCTAAGGCTCTATAAGCCGCACAGAACAAAGGGATTCGAGACGAAGCCCCTTCGGGGACTGCAGTGCTCCCGCTGGCAAGCCCTAACGCCGCAGCCTGCTTGAATACGCGTTGAACCAGGAAAGGCGATAAATTAGGGTAAAAAGTCAGAGGAGCATTCGTACTCGGAGTGCTTCATGGTGTGCTATACTTAGCGAGCGGTCAGGGAGATCTGTTTGCGGTCGCTGCCGCCTCAGCCACCCCGGCATCTTCGCGTGAACGTTCGTCGTCGCTGTCCCGCCCAACGCTGGACGACGGTGGCGATGGCAGCTGCAGCCCGTCACCGTCAGGCGCCTCGTTCCCTCAAGTCCGCGTCGTCGGTCTCGACGAATAATCCGCCTCCCCCAAAGCCGACATCCCAGCAGTCCACTTCTCTCGCGAAGCGGCTCTTGTTTCCGAATCTGCCCCTTGGTGCAGATCTACCGCCTCTGCTTGCGACGCCTTCGACGCCTGAACTCAATGCTGAACTGTACGATTTCATAGCACTTGCCCTGCGTGCATTTGTGAACCCTTGGTGGACGAAGATCACGCGCTATGACAAGGAATTTGTCGTCGAAGTCAACCGCATACTCACTGTTGTCATTCGAGTGCTAGAGGAACGGCTGATCAACGCCGATTTGTCGCCTTTGGTGTTTGGTGACATACCCACTCTGGTGATGCAGCACTACAAGGACTACCGGAATGCCGCTGCAAAGGTGTCAACGTCCTATGCAACAGGAGGATCTGCATCCCTTCCGCAGCTGTTCCACCAGCTGCAACCCCACATGGCCATAACGGCTGAGGGAACGATACACGAGGACTATGTGCGCCAGGCTATTGACCATATTCTCAAAGCGTGTCTGCCGCCCGAAGATTATGAGCCAGATACCGAACGCTACATCATCCGCGAGATTATCCTGAAGGTGCTGCTGGGCAGCGTTGCACCTAGGGTCACGCAGCCATGGTTTATTTACAAGCTCATCCTGGACCAACTGGGACCCGCGCAAGTAGCTGCTCCTGTGTCAGAGGTACGTGTCCGTGCTATGTTATCTGAACGTTCCGTGATTGTAACCATGTTCTTGGCGGATACAGTCTTCCTGGGAGTATCACCCGTTGAGTGGCCCGCGTTCCGGGGGAGGCATCCTGCTTCCTCTGTTTCTTGTATCGATGCTCTCTGAATATACCAATGCTTATATGCGTGTTATTGAACGGGTGATGCCTTCAGGAAATAAGACCGATCTCGCCAAATATATTTGCATTACATTGGCTAAGTATCTTTGCTGATTCTGTCTTGAAGCCTGCAGATTCCACACCCTCACAGCCGTTGTTTTCCCTCCAATCACTCACTTTCCAGTCCCTCGTCGTCTTCTTTCTTTCCGCTGTCCAGTCCATATCAACGTTCTGCCTGGCGCTCATCAACGCATACAAACATCTCATGCTCACCATCAAGCTCGTGAATCAGTCAGCGCCTACTCAGCTTCGCGCCCAAACCATCCCCGACGCCGCCAGTAATATGCCCCCCTCGCCTTCGCCTGGTTCAACGCCCAAATCGGAAGATAAAGTCATACTGGGTGAACCTTCCGACCCGTCATCGCAAACTCCCGCACATTTCCACCCGAGCTACGCGGATGGACCGCTGGCCATGGTGGCAGAACTGCTAAACATGCGCGATCGGTTCACGTCGTCTACGGCGATAGGCATGATAGAATGGGTTGCCGCAGCTTCCAACCCCTTTCTGGACAAGTATGTGTCACATTTATGCGCAGCATTAAGGCATGATTTCTCATGATACTTCCAGGTTCCTGCCGTACATGCTATACAAGCACGCGCTCTCGAGTGCCCAGATCACGAACATAGTCCGAATTGCGAAGAACACGCTGTTCCCTAATGGGTACCCTGCACCTCCACCTATCGACCCTACGCCGGAGGAACAAATACTCATTCGCCAAAATCTGGAGAAGCGGATTTTAGAGAAGGTCCCAGGTCCGTGGTTTCTTCCTGGAGGAATAACCGACTCACGAGTGCCTTTGCCATTAGCTGCTGCGTTACCTCTTCTTGGCGTGACGCCGGAGATCCGCGCGGAGACAGTCAGGTCTCTCCTCGACCCACTCTCCTCGGCAGCGTGCAACGCCCATCTCTTCCTGTTCGTCCTCGACCTCATACTGCTCGCCATTTTCCCTGAGATGGCCGTAGCCGCTGCCTTGGGCGGCGACACGTATACTACTGGAGGCACGACAGATGGAGAGGGGAATAATGGGGGCGGGGAGGGTTTAGGGCTAGGTACGCTGAGTCGGACGACGTCGATTACGCCCCCCGGATCCGCACCGCTGTGATGCGTGCTTGATGGTTTTGCTCTCTTCTATTTTACGGATAATGACCTGTTGACACGGCATATTATACCATCCTTCGCGAGATGGCGACACGGAATGCAGACATACGTAATTACATGGATATCAGCGGCCCTCTCTGTCCGTGGCAAGGACAATTAAGTACTGACGACTAACAAGCATAAGAACGGATAAAGATACGTAAGACTACAGGTTGTGATAACTTCTCTCTTCTCCGTCGCAAACGAAAACTCGAGTCTCACAACTTGAACGGCGTCTTTGGATACTCGACTTTCGCTGCGGCAGCGTCATCCACGAACCAATACAACTGCCCCGGGGACGCCGGGCGCACGCGCGACGCAGGGAGGCCCTCCTCGGGTTTGTCCAGCACCGTCTTGAGCACATCCTGCTTGCTCTCGCCCGCCGCGACGAACGCGACGCGCGCCGCATGGTTGATCACGGGGAACGTGAGCGTGATGCGCCGCGGCGGGGGCTTCGGCGAGTCGTCGACGTACGCGACCCAGCGGTCCTCCTCGGAGAGGAGCGCGTGCCCGGGGAAGAGGCTCGCGGTGTGCCCGTCGGGGCCCATGCCGAGCAGGATGAGGTCGAACACGGGGAAGCGCGCGGCGTCCTTCTGCGCGAACTCGTGGATGAGCTGCTTCTCGTACGCGTCCGCGAGCTCCTCGAGGTCGTCGAGCAGCGCGGGGTCGAGCGTGTGGATGTTCGCCGGCGGGAGGGGCACCTTGGAGTAGAACTCGGCCGTGCAGAGCTGGTGGTTCGAGTCGGGGTGGTCGAGCGGGACCGCGCGCTCGTCCGCGTAGAAGACCTGCCTGCGGGTAGCAGCGGCGTGCAGTCGGTCAGTCAGCTGCCGTTCGTTCGCTGAGCGCAGCGGACTCACCACTTGTCCCACTTGACGCCCGTGCGCTTCGCGAGCGCGCTGAGCTGCTTGGGCAGCGACCCGCCGGAGAGCGCGATGGTAAACCTCCCCTTCTTCTCGATCGCCTCCTTCTGCGCCTTTATCACAAAGTCGGCGAGCGCCTCGGTGAGCTCGCTCGCCGTCGGGAACGAGCAGACGATGGGTGCGGCGGCGACCATGGGCGTGTGTTTTAGTGTACAGTAGTTTCGGGGTTGTGCAATTTACGCCAGAGGCGGCGGCGGCGTCGGTGGTATAGCGTGAAGAGGTGCCGTGCGCTGAAGCCGGTGCAGGGGATTATCAAGGGGTGATGTCATCATCGACCTTATCGTCTCAATCTTCAGCCACCGCCACATCTGCCACAATTCCAGACAGACTGAAATATTTACCGCGAACGAGAGGGGGTGTTGCAAAGAGCATGCACAGTCCCATGATTCGTTCCGTAACAGCATTTCCACCGAGGCTCAATCACGGCGGCCCCACAACGCCAGCCAGGCACGTCGAGATATTCGCCGTTTATGGAAATCACTACAACTGTGGCAGTCGGTACTAAACGTGCTGCTATAGATACACGGGAGATACAAATACACTATTTCGTTACATTCCGTGTGCAGAGTTCGTATGTTCGTGTTCAATATGTACGTGCAAGACCCCTCCTACCGCTCACCCGCCTCCAAACGCTGCTGGACCACCTCCCCTTGCTCCGAGATATACCAATGCGTCCCCTGGTCCACCAAGCTCGCGATCCAATCGTGGATCCGCCTATGCACATAAACGTCGGCACTCCTCATGCGGCTGCACCCTGAATGCTGCCCCGCGATCCTGGACCTTAGCATCTCCTCGATAGCGTCGTCCGGGAAATCCGTCTTGCCAACGCTCAGCCGCATCTCCAGCGCCTCGAGCTGGGGCAGCAAACACCCCCGACCCTCCTTCCGCGTCATCTCGTCGAAGAACATCCTGCTCGGGAAGCTCATCCTCCCAATGCCAGCTATGGACAGCCGCGTGAGGTTTGGCACGAGCGCGCACAGGGCGCGAAAGTCCTCAAACGCATCCAGGCGCAAGCCCGCGAGGGCCAAGCTCTGCAACTGACACTGGGAGCGCGCGAGCAGCGGGGCGACCTCGCGGCACAGGGGCACGATGTTGCCGGGCACGGCCACGTCGAGGTGCTTTAGGTTGGGCGCGGCAAAGTGCTCGAGCACGCGGACGAAGCCGAGCACGCGCGTGGGGTGCACGCGCAGGGACTCGAGCGCGGGGAACACGATGGGCGTGGGGGCGCCGCCGACGAGGAGGATCTCGCCAGCAGGGCTGAGGGAGCAGGAGGTGAGGGCGGAGCACTCGCGCAGGAGCGAGAGCCAGGGTTTTGTGGGTTCCCAGTTGGCGACGCGCAGGTGGGTGAGCTGCGCCCAGGGGAGGACGAGGCGGTGCGGGAAGCCGTCGAGGGCGAGCGCGCGGAGGCGCGGGGCGGAGATGTCGAGCGGGAAGGTGGGCTCTTTGGGGTAGAAGGCGTGGTCCTTGGGGGAGGTGAGGGAGAGGGATTCGAGGAGGGGCATGTTGTCGCGGAGGGCGGCGGAGAACGGGTCGGGGGCGGCGAGGTGGAGGCGGGTGCAGCGGGGGAGGTGGGAGAGGAGGGAGGCTGGGAGCGAATGAGGGTCGGGTATTGTCAGCGAGAGGGAGAGCGGGCGGGCGCCGGAGCGCTGGAGCCAGAGGTCTGCGAGCGAGACCAAGGACCGGTACTGATGCTCAGTGAAAGGGGAGTAGAGGCGGAGGGAAGTCCAGAGGGCCGGAGTGGTGATGGCACAGCGCCGCCAGGACCTGCAGACGCGGGTGAGGAGGAGGGGCGCGCGATTCCTGTGCGGAGACATGTAGGTCTCGGAGTGATCGAGGCAATGGCAGAATATTTCTGAAAGCATCTCGAGGGGGAGCATTTCGACTGGAGCTCGGTGCATTTCGTCGTCCTCGCTGGGTGGTTCGAGAAAGTAGGAGCAGCGCTGGTCGAGTGAAAAGGGGGTGGAGGGAGCGGAACAGGCCGGGGAGAGGATAAATGAAGCCCAAGGACGCAACGTAAGGGTGGCCATGGGGTCGTATGACTTTGGGGGCGGAGGGCGGTGGGTTTGGGAGCACACGAGGACGCTTCTGAAGCGGGGAGTTTGTATTCGACGACGGAAGAGCGATGGGTCACGACTGACGGCCACGTGCGGTGACGTCTGTCCAATCGACGATTGTCAATGCTCGTCGTACGCCTCCCGTCTTGGCGCCATGTCACGCCCGTCCTTCCTCGCCCTGCCCCACGAGCTCCGCGAACTCGTCGCCGGCGACCTCGACCACCCCGCCGACCTCCGCGCACTCGCCCTCACGTGCCGCGCCCTCTACCTCCTCCTCGTCCCCGCCTTCCTCGACTACTGCGCCATCCGCCCCTTCATCCACGCCCCCGACCTCTGGCACCACCTCGCCGCCGCCCCCCTCCTCGCCGCTCACGTCAAGCATCTCCTCCTATGCCGCCGCGACTACCGCCTCCCCCGCGGCTTCCACCCCGACGACCACGTCACTCGCAGGAGCCAGCAAGTCTACCGCGAGGGCGTCCTCCAGCTCGCCCGCGCGCTCAGAAACATGTCCGCCCTCCTCTCCTTCCAGTTCCCACCCGGCATCCGCGGCAAGAACGACGAGATCTGGGAAGCCCTCGCCGAGTCCTGCCCGAACCTGCGCGAGCTCGTTCTCTGGGACTCGTCTCCCTACGATTTCGAGCACCGGCCCCTCTACGAGTCCAAGGTGAGACCCCAATCTCCAACCCATCTCTTTCTCCCCAACAAACCCATCCACCCAGGTCTTCGACCTCCAAGACCTCTCCGTCTTCAAGCTCTACGAAGCCGCCTACGCCGGCAGCATCATCCCGCCCCCGACCGCCCGCCTCCGCCACTTCCTCCTCAACTCCCCGCACCTCGAGGAGCTCCTCCTCCACTTTCACTTTGTCGACCGCCGCATCGCCGCCCCGCTCGACGCCCTCTTCGCCTCCGCCCACTGGCCGCGCCTGCGCGCGCTCGAGCTCTCCTCCGTCTCCTGCCGCGCGGAGACCGCCGCGCCGTTCTTCCGCCGGCACCCGGCCATCGAGAAGATTTCGCTGTTTGACGACTTTTACGACCGCGTGGATTTGGCGCTCGTCGAGCCGGGGACGCTCCCGCGCCTGCGCGTGTTCTACGGGACCGTCGCGAGCCTCAAGGCCCTCGCGCGCGCCCGCGCGCCGCTGCAGGACGTCACCCTCCGATGGGTCCTGCTCAACCAGGAGATCGTGCTCGCGCTCATGCGCAAGTTCGACGCGATCAAGGCCGGCGCGCGCGAGGACGACGCGGAGGGGTGGATGGTTGGCATATTCGAGGCGGTCCCGCGCGTGATATTGACGGACGGCTCGGCGCGCGTCAAGGCGAAGATGGCAGAAGGTAAGATGAGCTTTCAGTGGGAGAGCATATGAGGGAAGATGGCATTGGTGTTATCCCTGCTAGAATTATAGGTACCACTTTGTAGCGTACATGCCTTTCTAAATTGCAGTCCACGGCGCGGGTGCCGGGCCGGAAGCAATTCGGACGCGTCCGATCGCTTGCCACTTCCGATCACTTGCAATTTCGACGAGCATCCTGCACCCGGCGCAGACTGCCCACCATGCCGAGGAAAGGTAAGAACAAGCAGCGCGAGCCGTCCCCCGAAGTACAGTCGGATGGGGGCAGCGACGAGGAGGACGAGCTGTTCACCGTCGGTGCGTACTTCAGATATATATTCTCTATCCGCGCGCGGGCTAGACGGCTGGTGTGTGTACAGAGGTGATTACGAAGGCGCGCGTGGGCTTGCTTGGGGATACGCACGACGCGTCGTGGGTGAGTTCGTCGGTCGCGTTGATATTAGGTTATGCTGAAGCACGCGTGGAGGAGTACTTGGTCAAGGTGCGAGCCCCCCTCCACCCATCCTCGCGCCCATCCGCTGACAGCCTCCCTGCTAGTGGGCAGGATACCCCGAGGAAGACAGCACGTGAGCACGCTCTCCACTCCCCCGCCCGCGTCTCCTCTCCTGCCTTGTGCTTACACCTGCTGCAGATGGGAACCGGAAGAGAACCTGCAAGGCTGCGAGCGCCTGCTGAAGAGCTTCTGGGGCCACATCGGGCTCGACGACGAGGACTACCCCGTCGGGTACACCGTCTCCGCGACGAAGACGTGGATCAGTGGGTGCCTCCCGCTTCCGCTTCGGCGTGGTGAAAATGCGGCCTGTGGCTGATGGGCGTGGTGTAGATAAGGAGAAGGCGCTGTTCGCGAAGACGCTCGGCGCCGGGGAGGAGAAGGAGATGCGGAGGAAGGAGCGGGCGAGGGAGGAGGCGCGGAGGGCGAAGGCGGGGAGGAACGAGAAGGAGAGGAAGGGCGCCGAGGGCGGGGCGGCGAGTAAGAAGAAGGAGAGTCCGAAGAAACCTGTGAGGCCGCGCGGGGGTGTCTACTGAAGTGCGTGAGCTGATGAATAGGGTGCAGGGTCGGAAAGCTGCGAAGACGGAAACGGCGTCCCCGTTGTCTGAGCCGCCGAAGAAGAGCCAGGAGAGAGAAAAGGGAAAAGATAAAGGGAAGGCGAAGGCGAAACAGGCAGAGAGCGTGAGTTGCGTCACTTGTGTCTGGGTATCCTGCCTGACGCAATGATAGGATCCTGAGGATACACCCAGGCGGAAGAAAGCCAAGGACGATGTCAAAGGGAAGGGGAAAGTAAAGGCTGTGCTACCTGAAAGTGTACGTATCCCCCAAGTCCTCAGACACGAGTATACCAATGCGGGCGCGAGCAGGACGAGTCCGATTCGGACTCAGAGGACGACGTCCCGCTGGCCGCACCACCAACCAGGAAAGTGTCGACTGCGGTCAAGCGAAGAATCGCGTCGCCGGATAACGAGGTGAGCGCGGGCTCGAACTCGGTCAGGGTGGTGCTGAATGGTGTGACTGCAGACGCCTGAAGTGGTAGAAAAAACGGCCCCCGCCCCGGCCGCTGCAGTGCAAGAGGGTCCACAAACGAAGAGGCCCCGGATATCTATTGATACAAATGTGACGTCTGTGCCCGCCGCCGCTACGAGTGCCTCGCAGGTAAGGTTTCTTCGCCATCTTCCGGTTCAGGATCTGCGACTCTCCTCCTGCGTTAGACTACCCCGGCGCGGAAGTCCCGCTCGCCCTCCTCCGACCGGGACTCCCTGTTTTCAGAGGAAGAAACTCCCGCAAAAGCCCCGCCCAAGAAACCCGCAGCCCCCGTCCCCGCGCACCGCGCCCCACCAAAGGTCAAGCTCATCGACCTGCCCAGCCAGGGCGGCAGCGCGCTCGCGACGAAGCAGCGCATCCTGCACAGCGGCGCCGCGGCCTCCCCGACGGGCCCGCCCCCGCCCCTGCCGATTCCTGCCCAGCGCAGGGGCTCAGCGAACCTCGCGAAGCTGACGTTCAAGAAGACTGCCGGCGCCAATGCTAATGCCAATGCCAGGGGCGGGAGCGCGACGCCTACGCCGGCAGATTCCCCGGTGGTACCTGGTCCGGGCTGGGCGGCGTCGCCTCCTCAGGGCGGGCTCGCTGATTTCGTGCAGTCGCCCGTGTCTATGGAGCAGGCGTTCCCGTCTGTTGCCCCTTTGCAGACGGAGTCGTTCTTTACGCCTCCTGTACCAGGGTACGTCGCTGGTGGTTATTATGGGGTCCGAGTAATCTCGATTCTTGCAGGCCGTCTCGAGTCCCGGCTGGGCCTCCTCCTGCGTCGGCTCCGGAGGTTGATAGCTTCCTCGCGCAGATAATGCCGCCGGCGTGAGTCCTGCATTTTTGTTGGAGCATATCGTGCTGATGGTCTGTCAGACTGGCTGCACCTATGGAGTATGTGGTCACTGTACAGAAAGGGAGTCCATTCTAATGAGCTCGTCATGTTAGTGAGGATCGACCCATGCCGAGTCCGATAGCACCTCCACCGATTCCTATGAAGCCTGCGGCTTTTGGGAGGCAAGTCGTGTCCATTAACGTGCGACCGTGTCCTCAGCCTGATGTCTGCGCCAGGATCCCCAAGAAGTGGAAATGGTCCGGCGAGCTTCTCGTCGAGAAAGAACTCGACAAGGCTGAGCGGTTCTGCGAGGTCGCGCTGACGGACGCGACGGACCACCTGCCCGATGGTCTGCGCCTTAGCATCTGTTTCTCGTCCGTGGAGTCACTGCGGCTGAGGAGACTGCTGGACGTCGCGGACATTGACGGCCTGCTGTCCGCGTGCGCGAGGCCTCAGCAGATGGCGAAACTCGGGCCCCAGAGCGAGGCCGATACGCCGCCATTCCAGACTCTGGTGAGGTACATGCGGAAGAAACGAAAGGGAAGTTCTGATCATCATCTGGTCAAGCTGGAGATTGATCTGGCTCTCTCTGTAGATGTCGTATGCGCCTATCGTCGTAAACAATATCGAACTGGGCATACTGCTCGTATATCCCTCTGCTGAGTCTAAACTCGCCAACATGTTCAAGGTACCTGATGATTTACGAGACAATGTCTTCATGACCGCCGTTCTCATTCCTTGGCGACTCAATTCGACGAGATACGCAAAGTACAAGTGGCAATCGCGAGGAAGTCTGCCGGTGGACTCGCCAAAGGTTGCTGTGGAAGGCAGGATCCCTGGCGCGGTCCTCCAGGCTATCTCCCTTTTGCACTTCCCGCAATGGCTATATGACCACATGCGGATGCCAAACAGACCGTATTGCGTATGGAACACAAGTGACGGCACGCCAGCGGCCCCTGGCGTGGAGACTGCTGCTCTCCGAACGATCCTGAGACACTGCAATGCCCCCGACGCGGGCCACAAAGCCGACGTGCGCGTCGTCTTCGTCCACGTCGGGTCTTTGCGGACGCTCCACAAGCTCCCTGCTTTGGTAGAGCGGAGGTGTAAACGACCAGAGATACAGTTCGTCACTTACGGTACTCATGAAAGTGCCCCGATTAAGCGGTGGGGAGTGCGCGAGATCTTCCCTCTAGGTGCGTCTGCAGAAAGAACAGCGCAGGAGACGTTGTCGCTAATTACCGCTCTAGGTGGTATTGTCACTTTCACTCCGAGCTCCATAGTCGATACGCCGCTTGCCGTTTTCAAGTTGATCTCTCAAATCGCTGAGCACCCTTTGTGGCAATGTTATGTGACTCCAGCAGTGCTGGCTGCAGTCGTGCGAGAGGTGTACAAGGATCAGAGAAGTCCCAATCAGGCCCTCAGGTATGTATTTTCGAGGTATCCATGATATAAAACTAACCTCTGAGTTTGTTTGCAGGGGAGACGACCCCCTATATAGTCAGATTCTGACTTTCGTCGAAGAGGGCCAGTTATCCCTGATACAAGCACCTCCGCTGAATCGCAGTCTTACCCAAGGCAAAGATCCGATCAACGACTGGATTTCGCTCCAAACCGTGCTGATGCGGCTGAATAGCCAAGAACTCGGGGAAGAATGCATGAAGATCTTTCGAAGTGAATATGCCAATGTCCCCGAGGCTGAACTCGCTCCGGCTCTGTTACATAATATTTCGAAGGGGTTGGCATGGATGCAAGCTCAGCCAGCTTGCATGGACGAGTTCCGGCGGTTTGTAGTGATTACAGGGCCACAGGATAAGCATATCAACTGGGACAGAGACGGCGTATGTATCTCTGCTCTTGACTACGTGCATTCAAGGAATTGACTGTACCTACCAGTTTGAATGGCTTCCGGTAACGAGATTCGACTTCAAGGATGACTTTTTCCGCGACTCCAAGTAATGCCGGTGGTTCTTAGCGACATTCACGAACGCAGACCTTTACCTTAACGTACCGCTATTCTGTCGCTAACAGTAATGATCCGCGCCAATAAGATATGTATGTCACATTGCGGTGTACAGAAGCGACGGCAAAGCACTTAAGGACAAGGTATTATACTAGAAGAATGAGGGTAAAACAACAAAGAAGTCCATTCATAAGGGAGCCCGGAGGCGGGTTGGCATTAAGTCATCACAGAAATCGCAGATGCCGGATATCCAGGTCTGACAATCAGCAATTGCAGCCATAACTCTGCGAGCTCTCCGAGTCGATTCTGATAGGGTCGGGATAATCCATGAGGCTGCGGGGCAGAGTTGCAGTCACATCGTAAGGCAAGGGGAAAGCGGTGAACGTACATTTGCTCCTCGGCCTCCTGCTGTAATGCGTTCTTAGCCACCGTCTGGAAGGCTTGCTCGACGTTGATGGCCTCCTTCGCGGACGTCTCGAAATATGGGATGTTTCCTTTCGATTGGCACCAAGTCATCGCGCGCTTCTGAGTTACCTGAGATCGGATACGAATGAGCCCAGGAGTACACGAACTATTCCCATGCGTGAGTACGGCCACTCACCTGCCGCTTGTTCTCCTCCACATCAATCTTGTTGCCCAGCACGACGAAAGGGAAGTTCTCCGGATCGTGAGGGCTGGCCTGGATGAGGAATTCATCGCGCCAGCTGTCAAGGGTCTCAAATGACTTTGCGCTGTTGACGTCATAGACCAGCACACAGCAGTCCGCGCCGCGATAGAAGGCGACACCCAATGATTGGAAACGCTCCTGACCCGCAGTGTCCCACAGCTGCGAGGCGTAAACGATTGACATACGGAAATAGGGTCAGCCAGCTTACCTGCATTGTCACAAGACGGTCATCCACCATCACCTCCTTCGTCAAGCTAGATATATGGCAAAGTCATTAGGCAGTCTGGCGGTAGCAACGCAGAACGACGCACAAGTCGGCGCCAATAGTAGCCTTGTACTGGTTGCTGAACCTCTTGTTTACATATTGGTTCATGAGCGACGTCTTTCCGACACTGAAGGGTATGGCGTAATAAAGTCAACAGCATGCTGGATTCCCTGTGCTATGCACGAACCCGCTATCACCAAGAATGATAACCTGGTACGCTCATGTCAGTGCCCTTGATTATTCCGAACAACAGCCAGACATATCCACCTTCAGTAATACCCGACCCATGGTGATATACAGAAGTAAGCAGCTATGGCCGTCTAAAGGGGAGACCGTTCGGTGGATATGGAGGACTGCGTATGCACAGCGTGACGGAGAGCGCTCGGGTGGCGGTACCGACTTGGACACGCCCGTCGCGGCGGCTTCGCGGATGATTCGAGCTCCGTCTAAATCGACCTTCACTGCCAAATCCACTGACCACACTGGATTCGCCTTGCTCGGGTCGCCTGAACTCGCGTGATAATGGCCGAACCGGCATGGCAAGAGCTACTAAGGCTTCGTCTGGTCGAGAGGAATGCGAAGGAGTCAGCATTTGCGTCCATCATTGAGCAGTGTATGTGAATCCGATCCACGTGTTTCCTAAGGTGCCAAAGGCTGAATGCATCGATGAATCTTTGGGAAAGATCGAAGATTGGCTCAGCAGACGAAGCTGCTAAAGGAACGGAACAACTCTTTGCTGAGGGCAGTCAAGACAGTGGGGTCAAGTGCGAGCAGTTCTACTTTGAATGTTGTAGGTGCAGGCGATTCGTGAGTCATTTCCCAGGGCAAGTATCTAAGCACGGCAAACTGAAGAGATGTACCAGCGATGGGGTCAAGTCAGCCTATATTGCATCGCTGGAATCTCAAATATCATCTCTGAGAGATGAATTGGCTACTGTGTACAAGACACAGGGGCAGAATGCCCAACGCCTCTTGGCCATGACCGAGACACTGCGGGAGAAGGAGGAGCTGGCAAGATTGGATTCTGAGAACCTGAGAAAAGCACGAGAAGAGGTAGCGGTGCTGCGAAAGAAGGTCGATCAGCACAACGAGTTGATGGCGGAGAAGGACCGGACAGCTCAGGTGCGTTCATCCGCGTGAACGAAGGCTGCCAGTATTCAGTCCATCTCAGGTTCTCATGGACGAGATCAACACCCTGCAACTGGAGCTCAGTCAGATAGAGGAGCGAAATCAAATACTGACAAAGGACAATGCTAAGCTGCTGCAGCGATGGCTCGATGCTAAACAGGCTGAAGCAAACAAGCTCAACGAAGCGAACGAGTTCTATGAGGACATGCGTTCACGACATCAGGCGGTCCTCAACTGGAGGGACGGTTCGCAGAGCGATGCAGACGCGCAGTCAGTGTCGCAAGGGTCGGTGTCGGGAAAAGCGGAGGGGCTGGACAACGGGATATCGGCGGGGACGAGGGATGGGATGCAGTCTCTAGCGGAGAAGGGCGCGAGTCGGACACCGAATGGCTAATGGTCGATGAGTGATTCTGTTTGCTTTTGTAGATATGTGCTTTCCAACCTGCTTTCGCATACCCTTCTCGCTACGCATATACCTCGGTCTGGCACCTGCTGTCTAGTGGAATATTTACAACGAATCTAATAAATCATTTGTATAGCATTACAGTTTGCTGGCGTATAACTCCGAGCAGCTGTCAGCCTGCTCCCATTGGCTGAATATGCGACCGACCCGTTCTTGAACACCTTCCTTAAATGGAAGCGTCATAACCCGATACGTTCTGCTGCAATCGACAGAAGGCACTGCACGTGACTCAGACACGTCCCAAGCGTCAAGGTCGAAGAACACCCCGCCCGGCCTATAAAAGCCTGAACAACGTTCGTGTCGCTCCCCAACCATCTCTCTCCCTCCCCCCATTACCAGCTCCACCGCAGCCTATCCTCATATATATTGATATGCGTACATCCGCTATTGCCCTCGGCCTGGTTGCCGCTGCCCTCAGTCCTACCTTAGTGTCGTGTGCCCCTTTCCCAGCCGACGGAGGCTCTGCTGCTACTTCCTCTGGCGGAAATGCTAGCGGGGGCTCTGTCAATGGCCCCGCTAATGGATCCGGGCTAGGGACCGGCCTCGGGCTGATCAATATGTTCTCCAACAAGGCTGGCAACGGCGGGACAGCCAACTCCGGCAACGCCATGGGCGGGTCTGGGGGCACCTTTTCACCTGCTTCTGCCCCTGTTGCGTATGTATATTTTCTCCATATCTAGCGTATACTCACAGCATATGTTCAGAGCATACAAAGCACCTGCAGCCAAACCTAACACTAAACGTCCCAAGCCATCTTCAGAGCCGAAGCCGGCTGCGGCTCCAGAATTTCAGCCCCCCACAGCTGAAGTAGGGTCTGAACCTGCTATGACAATGCACGCTGGGGACAACGCCAACGCCGGCGCAGCTACTTCGGGTGAAGGAGGCCAAGTGTCCGGAGGATCGATCAATAATCCGGGCGGTGCCCTAAATGTCTTCGGCAGTAAGTGACGCATAGTATGCTCTAATGCGATATTTACAAGGATCCTGTAGACGAGGCCGGTAACGGCGGTTCTGGAGCTTCTGGGAATGCCGTAGGAGGCAATATGAAGAGAGCAGGTTCAGGGTAACGGATACAGCTTTGTTTCTGCGGACACCAGACTTACATATAGACTTTTCTAGAGGTTGGAATCTGCCGTTCTTGCGACCGGGGCAGAAGAAACGAACCAACGGTGGTCCTGCAAGCTCCCAGCAGGGCGGCAATGCATCAGGGGGTTCTGTTAATGGTGGAGATGACCGGGGCCTCGCCGCTTTGAATATTCTCAATATTGGCTCAAGTGAGTGTCAGTGCAACATGCAGAGCCTTAGACTACTCACTAGTCCTTTCAGACAATGCAGGTGACGGTGGTCTCGCTAAATCTGGTGACTCTTTGGGCGGTATCGGTGGACACGTCCCAGAGAGACTTACCAACCCAGGTCGTCCGAGTATTACCAAGGCGAAATCAGTTGCCGGATCTGGAGGGCAGGCCGTCGCGGGTGAAGGGGGGATGGCGCCCGGAGGTTCGGTTAATACACCTCAGGGCCTGATCAACCTGTGGTCTAGTGAGTATAGGCCGAGCTAACCGGTCGAGAGGATAACTAACCGTGCATGAAACTAGACAACGCTGGCGACGGTGGGGATGGGCGCAGCGGGTTTGCTAACGGAGGTGCCGGAGGTGTTGCGCTTTGAGAGATGGTTTCAACACATCTAGTCGACACAGTCTATACCCCTCAGTCTTTGTATCCTTAGTTCAGCCAAACGGTGTCAACATCTTTCCGTCATTTATTTGATATATCATCAGATGAATATTTCAGAACGGGGCGATTTACAGTGATTCGGAGGAGTGAATTTGATTCTTATAAACAGAACATGCTCGTGCACGAGACCCAAAATGTAATATGTTAGAAGAGGGGAGAAAGACACTTATTTCATCTGATAAAGAGCAGATAATAAGAAACGAAGTGCACAGGGGATCAGAGATAAAACTTGCATAGAAACACTGTGATTGGAAGTGTACGGTGGCAATAAGCACGAGCGAGGATAATTGGTAGATTGAAAGAAAACTATAAGCGAACTTATCTGCGCAAGCCGATCTACAGAGCAGGAGCATATGTTACAACCTTTAACCGATTAAGCACCGCCCTGTCCTCCAGGGGCAGCGCCGGCCTGTCCAGCCGCAGCCTGTTGGCCATAGTAGCCTGAAGATAGACAATCAATCACAGGATCACAAGAAGTCTGGATACTCGACATACCTCCCCAATAATTGCCGTAGTAGGAGTTCATATCGGCACCAGCAGGCCACTGTCCCTGTGCCCCTGCCGCAGCGGCTCCGGTAGCATCCGTCGGCGATTGCGCACCTGTCAGGGCCATCGCTGCACCCGCTGCGCCAGCTTGAGGTGTGGGCATACCCGGGGTAGCGCCCCCAGCGGCACCAAATCCGCTGTATCCGTATTGGCCGTACGTGTTCGGCTGGGGCATACCATACATGGGCTATCAGACGTAATTATGTTAGTGAAACCACGGAGCAAGATTATTGCAAACTGACCATGCTGCCATAGGGGCTGGCGCTGGCAACAGGGCTCAAAGGAGCACCGGCTCCCCCATCCGCCCTGTCCTTGCCCCAACTGCATTTGATTGGGCGACCATGCACCATCTGTCCCTGCAATTGCACGATAGCCATCGCGGCGTGCTCGTGCGTATCGAGCTTCACGAAGGCGAATCCGCGATCGGCCTGCATCCGGATCTCCTGCAGATAACCAATCGACTGAAAGAGGGGGATCAAATCCGCCTGGGTGGTGTAGGGCACCAGATTGCCGACATAGACGGTCGAGTTGTATTGGGGCGTCTGCGACACGACAGACTCGTACGTGAGCGGGCCACCCTGGAAGTTGATGGGTGCCGGAGCTCCACCTCCAGTAACACTAGCAGGGCGACCAGCCGGGGGCGCGCCCTGAGTCTTCTGGTTTGCCCAGTTAACCCGGATAGCGCGGGATCCGAGCCATTCGCCATTCATGGTGGCGATCGCCTGCTCCGCGTCAGTCTTGTCGCGGAAAGCCAGGAAACCATAACCACGAGACTTCCCAGAGTTCATATCCCACATCACACGGGCATCTGAAAGGGTACCGAAGGCGGAGAAGGCCTTGGCGAGGACATCGTCGTTGACTTCGGGGGACAGATCGCCGACGAAGACGTGATAGTGGTTGGAGGTATCCTCCTTGTTCTGGTTGCCCTGGTAAGCCCAGTTGACACGGATTTCCGTGTCGAAGATTTTGCGTCCGTTGAGGGTCTGCAGGGCCGTCTCCGCCGCACGCATATCCATGTACTCGACGAATCCGTAGTTGAGACCGCCATGCTGGTAGTTGCGATCAGGGATGATTTTGACGTGCTGAACCGGGCCCGCGACGGCGAAAATTTCGGTGAGCATATACTCGGTCACCCGAGGACTCAGATTGCCGACGTAAAGGTGAGCGCGCCTCTGGTCACGACCGCCGAAGCCCCCGCCGAAGTTCAATAGAAGAACGAGTAATAGTCAATTTGTCGAGGAAACACGTCAAGAAACGTGGAGATATAGACACTTACGGGTGCCTCAGCTGCTCCCATCCCCATTCCACCAGACATATCCATCATGATTTTAAACAGAGATAACTGAAATCGTCAGACCGTATATCGTGTATGCGACTGGGCGCGGGGACGTCGGGCGATATAGACAGCGATTACAATAGGAAACCGATATCTGCAGAGAGCAAGGGAGACTGAACGGAAAGAAAAACAAGTCCGACAGAGGATAGAGACGAGAGGAATGAGACAGAGATAGACAGGAAACGGAGAAAGAGGAAAACAGACAGAAATTCACCAGCACCAGTTGACCTGCTCAACGTTGAGAACAGCCCGCGCACTCTGCAATCTTCTCCTTTTGCCCGGCAATCGCCGAGCCGCGCCACTGCTCATCCGGAGCCGTGCCGAACGTTCAGACATGCGAGCAGGTCGGGCGACACTGGCAGTGGTAAGTTGGGGGTTCGTAAATTAGAGAGACCTAGTGGTTTATATACACCGTGCTACACAACACGAGCGGGGAGATACAATGGGATTAACTACCCGCTCCACGTGAAGAACCCGCGTCCCTTACTCAAAGCTGATCATCCGACAGTGTACGTACACCTCAGCGTCATTTGTCGGTCGGGACGTTCAGCAGCACGTTCCCTCCGCCGCTCGGTATGTAAGTGACATTGCGGTTGCTGGCTAGCGACTGGGCGATTGCCTTGCTGGCTTCGATTTTTCGGAAGGTGACGAAGGCCTCCCCTGCCTTGTCCAAAGCTCGCTGGATAGTTGCTGCGGCCTGGGCTTCACCCTCGGCTCGAATCACAGCAGCTTGCCGCTCTTGCTCCGCCTGCAGATATATTGCCATCAGACTGATGAATTGGGAGAGAATGCCTTCCCGAGAAAGGAACGAGGAAAGGAGCCGAGTGGCGATACGGAACTAACCTTTTCCACAATGAACCTCGCACGCTCAGCATCTAAAGAGACGCGGTCAGTATATCGCAACATACAGTGACATGGACAGCGTACCTTGCTGTGCAATCTGCTTCGCTTCGACAGCCTGCGGTAGTAACTCAGTAAGACTGGTTCATTACTAGTATTATCGTCATGGACGAACCTGGGTGAATTCCTGCGGACCCAGAACATGTAAGTGTGGAATAGATGGACTATGACAAGATCAAAGCACTCGCCTTCCCGAACGTCAAATGTGTTATGGATACATCCTCCAGCTGAATGTTGAATTCCCCGGCACGCTGTAGTAAATCAGCCCGTATCCGTGACGAGACGACTTCACGCTGCGTAATGAGCTCGGCAGCATCGAATTGCGCAACAATGCTCTTCAAGACTTCATTTCCAATGGATGGAAGAACCCTCTCGTCATAATCCAGACCAAGGCTTTGATAGATGCGGGGCAGGTGCTCCTTGTCCGGTCTTGACAGGACACGGAGAGTAATAGAGACCATTTGCAAGTCCTTTGAGCCAGTAGTGGTGGAGATATTCTGCAGGTACCCTTGAATGAACGAACAAGCAGCATACATGGACCAACGTACCCGTGGCTTGATGCGGCAGTCATACAGGATGGCTCTCTGAAGCCAAGGAACCAGGAAATGAGTGCCCTCCGGTCTTGCCTATGTTCCATCAGTAATATGCACATAGAGACTTGATAGGGCCGACAGACCTTGTCCGACACACCCTGGAACCGATCGAACATAACCGCCTGGTAGCCACCGGGCACATCGTAGATACTGGCGTTCAGAATGGTGGCGCCTACAATTGTAGGCACTGCGGCAGATTGTCAGTGGAGTTGAACGGCTCCATATAGACTTAATACTGACGTATCAAACGATTGAGGAACTGAACGGTGGCCATGGCAGACGCTGAAGTTAGCCTGAGACTCTACCTGCGTGCGCGAGACTCAGAGTAGGCCGAGCCAGATGACGAAAATGGCCGGGGACGCGTTAGACGCCGGACTTCCGGCAGTAAAATCATGGTAAATTCATAGACACTGCTTGTGGCTTGCCTTCACCTGCGATGTGCGGCATCTTGTTCTCCGTCGCCGACCAATCCAGGGATAAACCAGAAAACACATCTGAATTTGACAATCTTCTGTCAAAGTTGCAAGTTGCGAATGCTTGCCGTGGTCCGTTCATGTCAACATCTTCAGAAGCAAATTGTGATCAGGCCCGCAGGACCGGACGCTCAAAAGGGCATTCAACTCGTGCATTCATCTGACGATGGCTCTGGGAACCTGAGGCTGTCATTCTTTTCGTCCGAACTGCGACTTCGCGGCGAGGAGCCCGTAGTCCAACCTCACTATGCCGGGCCTGGTTCGGATGTACTATGTTTTAATGGAGAAGTCTGTACGCTATATCCTCCAACTATGAATCTGATCTCAATATATATCGGAACACAAGATATTTGAAGGAGTGAATGTAAGTGTGCAGGGGATTTATTCGCTCTGACACTCATTACTGGCAAGATTAAACCTCACGAGAACGACGGGAGCAGATTATACGAGATGCTCCAAGCCTGTGAGACACTCGAGCAAGTAAGGAATTGCATTGGTAGCATTGAGGGACCGTAAGCGCGTTTCGTCAGTTTCGCTTTCCCGTCCAACAATTGGGTATTCCAGTTATGCGTTTGTTTTCTATCAAGTATGCTTGGATTTCGGACATCTGCTCAGCACTGACCTCAATGCAAGCACGCGTCGTGTCGTGTATTCTTTGCTCGTGATCCCTTGGGACGACGGTCGTTACTCATCCATCGACTAAACGAAAGGAATCCGCATTTCCTGCTGACTTCTGTTTCAATTGGCCCACACCCTATGTACCAGGTCGAGGAACTGGATACCACGACTATATCATTCCTTGAATTGCGAGAATTTAACGGAGTGGAAGTAAGGATTCCGATAGCTCGTCGAAGATCGACTGATGAACCATTCTAAGTTCACTGCACAGTTTGCGTCAGCTTTGAAGGCCATCCCAAGGCTGCCAGAAGGCCGCTCGACATGCCAATACGTAATGTCATCTTTCTCTGCCGGATTGTGATAATTCTAATCACAAACGTAGGCGAGTGCATCTCCACTCAATCGCATTTTCCCGGATAATCCTCCCAGGTTGCAATCCCTCGACGTCATACCCGACTTCCTGTTAACAACTGTCGACGACCTGATCTCTCAGCTGGAGAAGAGTGTTCGATTGCGAGTGCAAAATATTCCTCGAATACAGTGCGCACTCTCTTCAATCGTACACTGATGTCAGGCTGAAACCGATCGCTTGCAGCCATGACAAGGGTCCAGCTAGCGTGGCTGTTCTTTTCAGCGGTGGTATTGACTGCACTATGATAGCATTCCTGGCGGACAGGTTCGGGTTCACTTCGGTGGCCTGGCGCAAATTGCTGACGTTTCTCCAGATATGTGCCGTCGGAGGAGCCCATAGACCTCCTCAACGTCGCGTTCGAGAATCCAAGGAAGATTGGCGCCGCATCAAAGAAACGGGGAAAGAGAACTAATGTGGACAGAGACGAAGATGGCACCACAACATCCCCGGATACCTCTTGGCTAGTTCCAGACCGTGCTGCGGGTTTGGAGGAGACGCAGGAATTAAGGAAACTTTGTCCTACTCGCAGATGGAACTTCGTTGAAATCAACGTGACATATCAGGTCAGTTGGATCAAGGATCTCTCTGATACAAGGACATCTCGTACATACATTTTTCGATGAAGTAGGAATATCAAGCCGCGCGGGAAACTGTAGAAGCACTAATGTTCCCCAGCCGAACGGTTATGGATCTGGCGAGTGCATCCCACGTTAACGTCAAAGCAGAGTGTTGAAGTATTGTGCAGAGCCTAGCAATGGCCCTGTACTTTGCATCCAGAGGGCAAGGCCAAGTTCGGAGTCATCCTACTGCCATTCCCGAACCATACACCAGTCCCGCACGGGTTCTCCTCAATGGGCTCGGTGCTGACGAACTATTCGGAGGATACGCACGGCATCGCACGACATTCAACGACGGTGGATGGGGTTCGGTCCTAGACGAGGTGAGCTGCTTTCATGCTCTACGTCGCCTCAAATCTCGTCATCTCATCCTCGCGGCAGTTGCAGCTGGAAATTGACCGTATACCAACCAGAAATCTGGGAAGAGATGATCGCGTCATCTCATCGCACGGCAAGGAGACACGCCATCCATTCCTCTCCCTATCGTTCCTAAATTTCGTTGCACAACTGCCGGTGCACCATAAAATGGATCCTCGTCTTGACACCGGTGTAGGAGACAAGATGTTGCTACGGCTGGCTGTGCGTAAGCTCGGCTTGATAGAAGCCAGTTCGCGGAAGAAACGAGCTATGCAATTTGGTAGCCATTCCGCAAGGATGGAAGGCGGCGAGAATGACCGCAGGGGAGATCTGCTTCTTTCTGGCCTATCCCAACAAAGCTGATTTGACCGGGGACTAGCATCACTCTTCCAGACAGCCACCATCATAGACGAGTGTACAGTTCATATATTATTCGTAATCCTACCTCACAAGGAATTTTGTACAACACGCCATTCCGCAACGCAGGAATACAGCTGTGAATTCTATTGGAACATGCTTTCTTTATGATTCTTCTACGAAGGCCTCCCACAAGATGACACGATTTAAGCAATATAGCTGCTGGCGGAGACATTGCCGCCACGGCCAGTCCAGTTGATGTGGATGTCCTCACCAGCCTTGAGCTTGGCATTCTCCTTGCCGGGCAGGACCCGGAAGGTGTGGGCACCGAAGTAGTCACGCTGTACGGGATACAGATGGTCAGACTCAAACGGGAACGAGGCACACGTAGGGCACGCACTTGAGCCTGGAGGAGGTTGGCAGGAACGATTTCACTGCGGTAGCCGTCGAAGAAAGCCAGAGCAGTGCTGAAGGCAGGTGTGGGAATACCCCACAGGACGGCCTGCGCAATAATGCGCCTCCACCCGGGCTGTGCCTTGTGGACGGCTTCAAACGAAGCGTCAGTACGCATAGGCGAACAAGACAGTACCGTAGTACGCACCCTTGTTGAAGAAGTCGTCGAAGAGCAGGGATTCCAAGTCAGGCGTCTTGGTGTATGCGTTGGTGATGTCACCCAAGAAAACGGACTAGCCAGAAAGCCATGAGCATTAATATATTTCATCCAGAAAAAATGGCATACCTTGATGATGCAGCCACCACGCCACATACGGGCGATGCCAGCGTAGTTCAGGTTCCACTTGAGCTCCTTAGCGGTCTCCCTCATGAGCATGAAACCCTGAGTGTACGAGATGATCTTGGAGGCATAGAGGGCCTGCTCGAGATCATCGATGAACTGCTGCTTGTCGCCTCGGAAGGTCTCCTTCTGAGGGCCAGCGATAACCTTCGACGCCCGGATACGCTCGGCCTTGAGCGAGGACAAGCAACGGGCGAACACGGCCTCGCCGATAAGGGTGACTAAAAGGCAGAGTGAGAATACTGAAGGGTTTGGAGTCTGCTCTTCTCGTCGTACCTGGCATGCCGGCGTCCAAAGCGTTGATGGCAGTCCATTTACCAGTCCCTTTCTGACCAGCCTGGTCAAGGATCTTGGTGACGAGGGGCTCGCCGTCGTCATCCTTGAACTTCAGGATGTTGGCAGTGATGTCAATCAAGAAGGAGTCGAGGACACCCTTGTTCCACTTGAAGAATATATCCGCGATCTCGTCCTCGCTCAAACCGAGCCCGCGCTTCAGGATGTCATATGCCTCGGAGATCAGTTGCATGTCACCGTACTCGATACCTGAGGTATTCCGGGTCAAGATCCACAATCCGGATGGCTATATGCTGCGGCCTTACCGTTGTGGACCATCTTCACGTAGTGACCAGCACCGGTCTCGCCGACCCAATCACAGCAAGGCTCGCCATTGACCTGAGCAGCTGCCTTCTGGAAGATCTCCTTAATGTGGGGCCAGGCGGCAGGAGAACCACCGGGCATGAGCGAGGGACCATAACGAGCGCCCTCCTCACCGCCGGAAACACCAGAGCCGACGAAGAGCAGACCCTTGGACTCAAGCTCCTTGGTCCGGCGGATGGAGTCGGGGAAGTGAGAGTTACCACCATCGATGATGATGTCGCCCTTTTCGAGGTGGGGTTCCAGCTGTTTGATGAAGTCGTCAACAGCGGGTCCGGCCTTGACGAGGAGGATGATCTTGCGAGGTCTCTTCAGCTTAGCGCAGAGCTCCTCGATAGAGTGAGCGCCCTGGACGTTGGTACCTGCGGGCCCGATTAATGCTACCGCTACCCAATTTCCAAATCTGTACTACACACTAACCCTTGGCTTCGTTTTGAAGGAAGTGGTCGACCTTGCTCGTTGTCCGGTTGTAGCAGACAACGTTGAAGCCTTTGTCGTTCATGTTGAGGATCAAGTTTTGACCCTGCAACGCGTCGATTAGATAGATTTCTTTGGAGACGCAATCAGTAATCGCGTCTACTTACCATGACGGCCAAGCCGATGAGACCAATATCTCCGCTGAGAAGCCATTAGTCCTCTAGTCACCGTAGACAACGTTGCGCACGTACGTAGCCATGTCTGCAGTGATTTGGGTGAGGTGAGGTGGGCGAGGACGATGGTGGTAGGATTAAGAGGAGGTGATGCTTGTGTGATGTCGATGCGATTGCTGAGAAATGCGATCTCGGCCCGGATGACCCACAGCGCCGGCGTATTAGATAAGCAGGCCGGAACCTCTCCGTGCATCTCCGGGCGTCGCTAGACCGGCGAATGGCTCTCACTCCCTTGCCCAAATCCGAGCACTGTTTCCCTAGCACTGGCCCAACACTGGCTGGCGAACGTTCCATCGCACGCTGGCATGTAGTCAGCGCGCGCGCAGTGTGTAAAATCCGTATTGGACCGTCTTTGATTATCCCTAGACTTGACTGTTTCTCAGTCACTAGGTCCGGATTTGTAGTAGACATTGTAAGCACAAAGACGTAGTTGCCGTGTAAAGTTGTAGACCGGAGAAGCATTCGTCAGCAGCGCCTGGTGAACAAGGCGGGCTATCTTCAGACCATCCAAGAGTTCCTCCTCGACGCGACGCGGCCGTATTGACGCGTCTCAGCCTGAAGAAGACCGTCCGATCCAAGTCCGATCACTCCATATCCGGCGATGCTGTCAATCCCATGGAGGTCCTCAGCTCAGCGGCTTGAAGGGTGCACACCGAGCCCTCAATCAACTGGCCGGTGTAGCACTCCCTTGATTCGAACCTCGAACGCAATAGTCATCTCACGGTTGGTTCCACCAAGCCACATCTTACAGCAGGCACTGCCTGACCGCCACTGACACTCCCTCGTATCTCTCTGGACTTGTCTCATACTGTCTGATCTCTACTACGAATTCTCTCGTTAACGCAACCAAATGCAACCTCTGGACCCCACCAATTCTGCTGTCGGCACAGGGGTTACGATTGCCTCCCACTCCCATCCGTTCGCGGTTCATAGCATGAGCCATGGTCCCGTCATTCAGGAGGGATGGGTTCTGAAGAAGCGGCGAAAGCGGATGCAAGGTGTGTAAGGCTGTATAATCACACCTTGGATCCCGACAAGATTCATTCCGCGGAAAGGCTTTGCGCGCCGATACTTCGTGCTATACCAGTCCGGGCTGCTATGTTACTCTTTTGAACCTGGAAAGCCCATACGAGATCAGATCCCGTTACACACCGCTGCTATCTCCAGCACCCCGGGAAGGAAGGACATCACCATCGACTCCAGTAGGGCTACGTTCCATATCAAGTGCTTGACCACTGAGGACTTCACGAAATGGATGACTGCGTTCAGGCGAGCAAGTTCTGGCTAGTGCACGTCTTCAGTCGAGTTTACCTACGTTACAGGAAGTTCATATCGACCGACGACCGAACCGTCGGCAGAAGGTCCTCCGTCGCTAGGAATCTTCCGTTCCTAGGATACATTACCAAAGCTGGAGTTGTCGCTGAGGAAATGGGCACTGTAAGCGAGTTTCCATCTTTCGGGGCGTCGGTATGTTAAGTCCTTCTCGGGAAGACGATCGAGGAGTTAGAGGATGCCTTCTTCGCCTGGAGTCAGGAGCACTCAACTAGACGTCGGCCAAGTTCGTCCAGAGGGAAGGGTGATCAGACGAAACAAAACCACTCGAAGGACATGTTCGGACTGTTCAAGAAATGTGCGCATATTTCTACCTTAATTTATACGCACCCACTTACTCCGCCTGCGTTATAGCTAACCATCACCATGACTCCCCATCTGAAAACGAAATTTCACCGTCCTCGTCGGGCCAGTCCACGCACTCCCCGGAGCAGCGGATCCAAGCGGCGATAATAACCCTGAAGTCTCAACATACGACCCTCGTCAAGTCCATCTCCTCGCTCACCAACACTTCCGAGGGACCCAGCACAGCCACTCTACGCTCATCTCCCCTCCCTTCCACCCGCGAGGAAGACGCGGGCGAAGCAGCGCCTACCCCGACGCGGAGCGGTGCTCGCACACCTTGGACTGGGAGCGTGAAGCGAGCGAGCATAGCGGATACTGCGAGCGACGGAACCGGTAGCGTATGGTTTGACGCACCCGAGGCGGAGACTGAAGGTGCCGAGGAATACATCGTGGAGCATGATTCGACGCCGCTGGATGAGAACGGAGGGGGCAGCAAGATGTCCAGTACGACGAGCCAGACGAGTAGTAGTGTGCAGGACACGGAGGACGATGAGAGCGAGACGGATTCCGAAGATGAGGTAGATGCTGCGGAGTGGGCTAGTGCCGCGCATGGTATGAATGGAGAGGCTGAGACGACCGGGTCTAAGGAGATTGTGCGGAGGACGCAGCTTCCATCGCCTCCTGTTGGTGACGAAGGGAGCTTATTTGCGGTACTGAAGAAGAATGTTGGCAAGGTTCGTCTACTTCACACCAAAACATGTACCATGAGAGTGACACCGGTTCAGGACCTATCTAGCGTTGCACTTCCGGTAACCTTCAATGAACCGCTGACGCTCCTCCAGAGAGCAGCAGAGGAGATGGAGTATTACGATCTTCTTCGGCAAGCTGCGGAATCTTCAGATCCGGTCGAACGGATGTGCTTTGTCGCAGCCTTTGCTGTGTCCGGCTACGCTCATACGAGATACAGGACCGGTCGGAAAGGTTTGTAAGTCGGACCGCGCATCCCACTACTGTATCTTCCATGCTAAAGCTGAATCTCGGGATAGCAATCCTATGCTTGCCGAGACGTTCGAGGATTCTCGTATGAAGTTCATTGCGGAGAAGGTCTCCCACCAGCCTGTTGTCATGGCCTATCATGCTGAGGGCGCTACGTGGCGATTAGACGCGACGTCCGCCGGGAAAACGAAGTTCTGGGGTATGTGGAAATGTCTATCGTCGCAGGGGCTCGATTCATAGCTGTCTTGTTCCCAGGCAAAAGCCTCGAGATTATCCCGCTGGGAACCACTCATGTGCAAATTGGGGAGGATCATTTTCAATGGTGGGAAGCTCTTCGGACTATTCACAGATTGCGGTGCATCATTTCTCACTCTAAATATACACAGGAACAAGCCTTCGTCTTTCATGCGCAACCTGATGATGGGAACGAAGTATCTAGAGCATTGCGGTAAAATGGTGGTTGAAAACACAAGGACCAAAGCAAAATGCGTGCTTGAGTTCAAGGAAGCCGGATACTGGGGCACTTCCAATCAAGTTGCGGGCACCGTGTTCTCGCCAGATGGGAAAGCAGAGACGCACCTTGAAGGCAAATGGGACGACAGCATAGTACAGAAGATGGACGCGTCGCACCTGCGTATACTGTGGAGGATAGCCCCGTTCCCCAAGAATGCTCCAGAGTATTACGGCTTCACGTACTTTGGAATTACCCTCAACGAGATTACACCGGACTTGGAGGGGAAGCTCCCGCCTACCGACTCTCGTTTTCGAACGGACGTTAGGGCGCTTGAGGAAGGGAACATGGAGAGAGCAGAGGCTGAGAAGCTGCGGATTGAGGAGAGACAAAGAGAGAGACGGAGGGCGGGTAAGGAACGAAGGCCGAGATGGTTTAAACAGGTGGGCGATGAGTGGGTTTATGCAGGTGGATATTGGGAAGAACGCTCGCGAGGATGGAAGGACGTTGATCCCCTTTGGTGATGAGCATCTCCAGACTATGCATCTCGGAATCACTGGCGTTGGATTACCTTATGCTATCTCGTAATTTCTACTTATTCCGCTTAATACCCTTCGTTGTGCCGCTCCTTAGACCCCCCACTTACTTTCCGCTACTATATGACACTCTTTCAGCGAGTCGTGTAATGCCAGCAATGTTGACACGCTAGATATCAGTTAGCTTTAACCGGCCGGCACCCTCTGGACTGAGGACTCGAGGAGAGTTCAATTGCCAGGACGCGTCGCGGTCATGTGACAATGCAGAATTTGGAGATGATCGACTTGGTAACCAATCAGAAGTATCCGTATTGACGAGGAATAGCTTTCGGCCGATCGCAAGTTTTGCTGCTTGGGCCGTGCTAGGGGCTGTTTGACGCCGCCGTGCTCTTGCTTGCCATTCGCTATGTCGGCTGCGACAGCGCCCAGCTTGCTTCGTAAATGCCCCAGGTCCTTGCGCCCTCGATGTCGCCGCTTTCTTGCTACTCATACTACCGTCATGGAGAAGGACTGCTCGTCTATCACTCCTCCGTACTCTTTGCTACTTGAGAAGCTCGACCGAGTACGAGAGTTGCTTGGGAACCGTCCCTTGACTTTGGCCGAGAAGATACTTTACAGCCATCTACATGACCCGGAGCGAAGTCTTGGTGACGGCAAGAAACTGGTCCGCGGAGAGACTTATCTGCAGCTTAGTCCTGAGAGAGTGGCCATGCAAGATGCTTCCGCTCAGTGAGCATCTCGTAACATCTAACCTATCGCTGTCACGATGACTGAATGCAAACGAATTCTTGTTAGGATGGCATTGTGAGGGCATGTAGTTCATCTCCGAGTCCTTCATCTTACATGTATTTATGGTAGATTGCAATTCATGAGCGCTGGTCTTCCTAGATGCGCTGTCCCTACCAGCATACATTGTGACCATTTGATACAGGCTAATGTCGGGGCCGAGCCCGATCTGCGGGTAAGTGATGTGGTTTGAGTGCACAAGGCTGCTGTGTAATATGGCCCACTAGCATTCAATAGAATCCAACAAAGAAGTGTTCGATTTCCTGGAGAGTGCATCTCGAAAGTATGGTATTGAATTTTGGAGACCCGGGTCCGGTATCATCCATCAGATCGTCCTTGAGAACTATGCTGCTCCCGGCCTACTCATGTCTGTCCTCGCAACGTTTTGTATGATATACTCACCGAACATTCGTCGGCTTACTTGACAGGCTGGGAACTGGTGAGTTTCTATTCTGTTCTATGCCATAGCCACTGGGTTAACGCGTCGTAGACTCGCATACACCCAATGCCGGTGGACTTGGGTTACTTGCTATCGGTGTGGGTGGAGCCGACGCCGTGGATGCCATGACAGGCACGCCATGGGAATTGAAAGCACCGCAGATCGTTGGTACGCTATGAGATCCGACGGAGGGCGCGTTCGTAGTGGCTTACTCTGCATCTTCAGGTATACATCTGACTGGGCAACTCAACGGATGGGCAACGCCCAAGGACCTTATCCTGCACCTAGCTGGAAAGTTGACAGTCAAAGTAGGTGAATCTCTCGCAATCGCAGCCGCTTGGCTTCATGCTGCAGACAGGGAGGAACTGGACGCATCTTGGAGTACTTCGGACCGGGTGTATTCAATCAATCTTGCACCGGTAAACAAATCAGTCTATTTCGTCCTTTCTGTGACCATCCTCATTGACGTATTTAGGCTTGGCAACTGTCTCAAACATGGGAGCGGAAGTCGGCGCTACAACGTCTACTTTCCCCTATACCCCGAACATGCGGGCGTACTTGCACGCGACCGGCCGTGCACCCGTAGCCCATGCTGCGGATGAGGCGGCTGCGAAAGGCTTCCTGAGAGCCGATGAAGGTGCTGAATACGACGAGGTCATCGAAATAGTAAGCACTGGCTCTTCTTACGTGCCCCGCCCCGCGCTGACTCGTTGACTTTAGAATCTCTCGGAATTGGAACCTACTGTCAATGGACCGTTCACTCCCGACCTGGCTACACCTCTCTCACGCTTCGGATCATTCGTCAAGGAACAAGGGTGGAAAGACGAACTCTCGGCTGCTCTGATTGGCTCATGCACTAACAGTTCATACGAGGACATGGTATGTATCTTCTTTCCACTGCCTTCGACAGGTGGCCATTTTAACCTAGATGTGTAGACCAGTGTCGCAGATCTTGCACGGCAGGCTAAGTCCGCTGGATTGAAGACGAAGGTAAGCAAGGGAGCGAGGCGATCGAGACAGCAAGTTCTCACCGCCAATGTAGGTTCCGTTCCTATGTACTCCCGGGTCCGAGCAGATACGAGCAACCATGGAGCGTGATCAAGTGACTGATGTGTTGCAAGACGTTGGCGCAACCGTTCTGGCCAATGCTTGCGGCCCCTGCATCGGACAGGCAAGTTGCCTAATACGATATACTCGTCGAGGCATCTGATCTCACGTTATCGCCTTCAGTGGAAGCGGGAAGACAAGAAGGGCGAGGAAAACGGTTCGTAGCTTCACAACATTCTTTCTTCGTCATGGGCGGGGTACTGACTTACGGGGCCGCCAGCTATCTTGACTTCATTCAACAGGTATATTCCTCCTAGCATAGTTGCATGGCCATCTAATCATCTTCCCGCTGCAGAAACTTCAAGTCTCGCAACGACGGTAACCGGCTCACAATGAATTTCCTGGCGTCCCCGACGGTCGTCACCGCGATGTCTTTCTCTGGAAAGCTCTCCTTCAATCCCATGACCGACTCGATTCCGCTTCCTTCTGGAGGAGAATTCAGGTTTTCCCCACCTTCCGGACAAGACCTCCCTTCGGCAGGTTTCGCTCCAGGCGACACATCGTTCTATCCCAAGCCAATGCCGGAGCCAGTCCCGGAAACAGAGGTCATCATCCGGCCAGATTCGCAGCGATTGGAATATTTGCAGCCGTTCCCGAGCCATTTTGGTGAAGGGAACCCCAGGGGATTGGAGTTGCCCAGTCTGAAGGTTCTTATGAGGGTTAGGGGCAAATGTACTACCGACCATATATCGGCTGCGGTATGCCATCAATGCTATCAGTAGTGGCCCATCATTAACTCGCGTTATCACGTTCAGGGTCCGTGGTTGAAGTACAAAGGCCATTTAACGAACATCTCTGAGAATTTATGTACGTAGAACTGTAACGGCTGAGAGGATATATGCTAACGGTTCACCAGTGATCACTGTGTGTACGATGCATCTTCATGCACTGCCTATGCTCATTGTATGACAGGCGGTAAATGACGAAGGCGGCGAGGTCAATATTGCCTTTGACCATGACCACGATCCATCTCAGAGCGAGATCGACACAATACCCGGTGTGGCAAAACGTTTCAAGGCTCGCAAGCAACCGTGGGCTCTCGTCGTTGATGAGAATTACGGCGAAGGTAGCGCTCGAGAACACGCTGCTCTCCAACCCAGGTTTTATGGTAAGTATTGCTCATTCTCCAGCTATAAGCCCTACCGAAGACGAGCATCCCTAGGCTGTGCCGCCATCATCGCAAGGTCATTCGCTCGTATCCACGAGACCAACTTGAAAGTAAGTGAGAATTGTGCACTAGTGTTATATTATTTGACAATCTGTCTTGCAGAAACAAGGCGTCCTTCCTCTGTGGTTTGTCAACAAGGCTGACTACTCAAAAATCGGTGCCGGTGACGTTGTAGAGACTCTCGATTTAGCCGATTTATTCCAGGGTGTTCAGAGAGAGACAGTCACTATCAAGGTGACGAAGCGTAATGGGGAGACTTACATGATTCCTACCAGACACACTATGTCTGCTGACCAGCTCAGATGGCTACGAGCCGGCTCTGCTCTCAACTACATCCGGTCTCAAATCAAAAGTAATTAGGATAGAGCTTAGAAGTATCTAATATGCGATCTACTGTAGCGGTATTATATACTTTTCATGAATTGAGCATCAACAAGACGGACATCGTGATTCATCCTGGTTTCATGTCATTTGCTAAAGCCCTTCCCAAGGTGGCCAAGTCGGCTGAAGTCATAGCATTCTTTCCACTCTTCAGACATGCTAAAGCCTCTTTAGCAACCGCAAAGGCGAAATCCGGCATTCCAGCTAACTTCGCAACCTTGAGGCCATGACTATCACGGTTGATACCTGGCCTCAAGCGATGCGAGTATGCGAAGTGTCCATCCTGGGGCCGACGTCAATACTGTCTCGGGAGCTAACTAACGAAGCAAACACACCTCTGTCTCGTCCACGTCCGTGCAAAAGAATGCAACATCATAGAAAACGTCATGCCCTCCATGACCATCGTGATAACCGAGCATATCGGCTAATTCATGGAAATGGGTGGCGAATAAAGCTCTGCATCGGTTCTGTGAATACAAATGACAGATTGCGCCGAACGCGATGGCCAGTCCGTCTTTGACGGTCGTCCCTCTGCCCACTTCGTCCATAATCACCTGCAGCAGAACTCAGTGATAAATCGGCAATGACAGCAGGAGTAAACTGACCAAACTCTTGGAGGTGGCTCGGCGCAGTATATCAGAAGCCTCCAGCATCTCTACCATGAAGGTGCTGCGATCCCGGAACAGATCATCTTTGGCACCCACCCTTGAGAAGAGTTTATCGACTATCCCTATCTTGGCAGAGTCGGCAGGTACAAACGACCCAGTTTGGGCCAGGATCGTGATGAGGGCAGTCTGACGAAGCAGCGTGGACTTCCCCGCCATATTGGGTCCTGTGATGATCTGTAACCGGGAGTTTTGGTCAATCAGCACGGTATTCGGTGTGAAAACGCGTCCTGAAGCAAGCAGTCCCAGTTCCACCGTCGGATGACGACCATTGACGACACTATACGTGTTGCTACGAGATGAATGTCAGTCATGCGCAATGGTATATGGTCGACGACCACCTACTCTTCAGTTACTGTCGGTCTCACGAAATTGAGTTCGCTAGCGAGTGTAGCGAAGCCAAGAGTAACATCCAGTTCGTCGATGACACGGGCATTCCTCCGCAAGGCCGTCGAACATGAAATGACCTATTGGCACTGTCCATTATGCTCGTGGTGTGCAGCCACCAAGACACTAACCTCGTTACGCAATGTCTCTACAGCCTCCTTTTCTGCAAGCTGGAGCGATATTGTTGTCTCGACTATCTCAGCACCGAGGAGTGACCATTCCTACAACGAATGAGTATAATCAAATCAGACTGCGAAGATAGGCTACCTGAAGGAAGAACGTTCTTGTGGTTCCGCTTTCAGACATGGGTACGAAGCGGGGCGAGTCTTTAATGCTACCTTGCTCTCGTTTGCGAGCCAGATGTACATGCATGCCGTGTCCTGGCGATGACCTCAGGGTTAACGAAGGGGCGTCTAGAATCGTTATTATTCAGATCCGACTGCTACTGTTGACCTGGAAGTAAAATACCATAGGTTCGTCGAAGTCGCTCCTCCAGTTCGTCCTTGAGTTTCAGTAGTTCTCGAAGTTTGCTGTGCAGAGCTCGGATAGAATCTGAATACCTAATATACGCTCAATATAAGCTCCCATGAATGTAGAAAACCAAAGTGAGATACCTACTCTGGGTGGATATTCCACTTACTCATGGTGCCGTATCTGAACGCGGCGAATGCATTCAGCGAGATCTCGTCTCCGCCAGGGTCTTCAACTGCACCACTGCTCTCTCCCGGCTCGCGAGATGTTGCCTGGGAAGTAAGTAGAGCGCCATTGATGCGGTCGGCCAGATGCTGGAGGTTATGTAATCTAGATACGAGAAGGTCGACGCTGGTCCAACCCTCTATACTGATGGAAGCATGCTCGGCCTCTTCCATCTGTTTCTCCAAGTCAAGCCGATTTGTGATTGAAGTCCATGTGGATATGGTCGAGCTTATACTAGATAGATCATGGGCGTCGCCACGACCAGACAAGAATTTCTGGACTAGACGGGTGGTGTCCTCTAAGCCGTTTAATGTCATAGTAAGGTCCTCCCGCAGGCTTGGCTTGCTATCGAAGAATGCGACAAGAGACTGCCGGGCATTAATTTCCGTTAGAGACGTGCTAGGGGAGCCTAGAACAGTCAGCTTGGACATTGACGAGGATCCAACGGTCCTCACATAGCCACCTCGCTAGGAGACGAGTACCACCGCTGGTGACCGTACGTTTGACGATACTCATCAGGCTGCCAGTGGTGCCTCCTTCGCGCATCCCTTCACGTATCTCCAGCGCCTTGATGGTATGAGCATCGATCTGCATCCGACTCTCGGCACTATCTCTGTTTGGTCGATGAAGAGAAGGCATGTGCTCCAGGAGGTTTGCCTGCATGTATGCAGTCAACAAGGCGATAGCAAGACCTTCATGTGCAGAAGGGCTCTGTCCGCGTAATTGCGACTCAGAGGGGGTCACACTGTCAGAATCCGCAACGACTGAATCTCCTGGCGGTCCGATATCCACGTGTTGTGCAGGCAGTTCGACTTCAATGTGGGAGACAAGGTAGCCTTCTTCAGTCAAGGTTTTTCGAACAGGATGTTCGGCAGCTACGCTTGAGTGCAAGACAACCTCCCGAGGACCAATACGAGCGAGGTCATCACGTAGCATATCAGAAGTGGACGCATTGGTGAAGAACTCGCCAGTGGAGACGTCTATCCAAGCCAAGCCGAGTTCCCCAGATGGGTGGTGGCAGTCAGAAATACCGATAGCCAAGAGATAGTTGTTTTCATAAGGGTTTAAGAAGGGCTCATCGATCAGTGTACCAGGAGTCACGACACGAGTAACGCGTCTATCAAAGCCCCCTTTCGCGCCCAAAAGAGGGGTGCGATGGAATTCTTCACATAAAGCGACGAATCGCTTGTTTTGTTGAACTAAGATCTTCAAATATTTGTCGAGATGCATCAGAGGAAAGCCGCACATGAGCACTCTTTTGCCTCCCCAATTTCTCGTCGTCAACTTGATATTCAACAGCCGTGCTAACTCCGCGGCTTGCTCGAAATATGACTGAAAGATGATACTCCTGATACAGACGAGAAAGATGCATTCGTGTGAGCCAGACGTACCTCGTAGAATTGACCTACTCGCGTTAGCAGTATACAGTGAGGAAATTTCGCAAGGTTTTCGAGGATTTCTACGGCCAGCTGATTTCTTGGAGTTACGTTGGCAGTGCTTGTGCTCTCTGCCCTCGCGAACACCCTTCAGTCACCTGGCATGCGGTTGCGGTAGATTACTAACCAGCAGTGAGGTCAGTAAGAGGCTCCGTGGACTCGTCGGGATCTGATTGGTGAAGTGCAGATTCGACTTCTGGCAACGCGTATCGGTTGAGAGTGGACGGGATTGAAGCGGGCGTCATACCTGAACTTGTGATACTATTCTTTCTCGGTCTTCCTCGTTTAATTTTGGAAGTCTTGACTACCTCAGTGGTAGCAGCGGATTCCGAGTAGCTTGGCACAGGGCTTTCTGTCGGCTGCGACCTATCAATTCTGTCACTTGTATTCTCTGAGACGCCTTTGCACAAAGGCCCAAGATTAGTAACTGCTGGAAAGAAGAACGTAGCACACTTGCAGCCCGGCAATTCCTCTGTCACGCTCTCTTGGAGACTGTCCAGACCACCGCGCCATTGACCTAAAGGCGGGGAGGGTGAACCGTCTGGAAGGAGGTAAGATTTAGGTAGATCGCTGAATTTCTTGCGCGACTTGGTACTTCTTCTCTTGCTTCCGTCTGACTGATCCAGGCAGCAAGAAGTAATTCTGAATGAACGTGCACGAGAGACATTTCGATGCCACGCTGCGATGGACGGCAAAATTCTGCGCACTTCCAAAAAGCCTGTCATACGAGGTGTATGACAGGCAAGTAAGACTTATGTCAACGCCAGCTCTGGCAGGAATGTATGGGATAACTGCGAAATGTTTGAGGCCAAAGTAAGTAGCGATGTAATTTCTATTCCAGTGTGAAGGAATGAAGTGTCGAAGGAAGCGCGAGTGACGAGCGGAGTTTCAAGACACGGGCTTCAACTTTATTGGTGCTTCCATCTCGTCGTCGCTGGCAGCAACGACGACCTTTCCTCTCGTCCTCCATAGTACTTTGTGCTCGAAATGTCTTTCGCTGGCAGACGCAGGGGTAACAAGGTCAAGAAGGGTGTCCAGTTCACCCTGATGGTCGTTGGTTAGTACTCCTTACACGCATCAGCATCTTGTACTGACGGTTAGTACCACGCGTCTCTTCACCTTGTCCGTGTTCTATGCCCCTAGGTTCATCCGGTACTGGCAGGACGACCTTTGTGAACACGCTTTGCGAGTCCGAAGTACTAGCCCACAAGGTCTGCGATGAGCCCGAGAGGGCGCACATAGAGGAGGGTGTCAGGATCAAGCCCATGAATGTCGGTAAGTGGAATTCCATACTTCTAATGTGCCGTGCGTAGCACCTAAGCTCCGACACAGAGCTCGATGAGGATGGTGTTCGAATTGCTCTGACCATTGTTGATACCCCCGGCTTCGGCGACAACATCGACAATGAGTTCGCGTATGTTGGTTTCGACCTCTCTACATGAGCTCGGATACTAATGTCGGCCCGTCTGTAGATTTCAGGAGATTGTCGGGTATCTTGAACGTCAATACGACGACATTTTGGCGGAGGAGTCTCGTATCAAGCGTAACCCGCGGTTCAGGGATAATCGTGTCCACGCTCTCCTCTACTTCATCCCCCCGACCGGCCATGCGTACGTCGATTGTCCCTCCTCATCCGTCAACTGTCTGATAGTCTTCATTCAGTCTACGTGAGATGGACATCGAGCTGATGCGCCGTCTCTCCCCCCGTGTGAACGTTATCCCCGTCATCGGCAAAGCTGACTCGTTCACGCCCTCGGAGCTCAAAGGCTTCAAGAAGAGGGTAATGCGCTTTCGTTATCATGGAATGAGTTCCTCACATCTGCTTCCTCTAGATAATGGAGGATATCGAGTATTACGACATCCCGATCTACAATTTCCCTTACGACGTCGAAGAAGATGACGAGGAGACTATTCAAGACAATAGTGAACTCCGGGTATGTGAACGTAAGTATGACGTTCATGCAGGTAGCTAACGTCGTGTCCCAGAGCATGCTTCCCTTCGCCATTGTAGGTTCTGAGGAGGAAGTCGATATGGACGGACAGCCTGTCCGTGCCAGGATCTACCCATGGGGCGTTGCTGAGGTGGACAATCCCAAGCACTCTGACTTCAGTGTACTGCGCCGTGCCTTGCTCAGGTAAGATGATGACGCGACCCAGTATCGTTCCATTCCTTCATACTAAGTTGGGTACATTTGTAGCACTCATCTCACGGACTTGAAGTCCCTGACTCATGACGTTCTCTACGAGACGTACCGTACGGAGAAACTCTCCAGAACCGTGCACCCCGATGGACAGTACGTAATTCCACAAGTGAGTTTACTTCCAGCCTGACTCTTGTCTTCGTAGCGAGCAATCGATACTTCCGGAGGAGCTGGCAACCCAGAGCGTGCGTCTCAAGGAAGAGCAGTTGCGCAGGGAGGAAGAGAAAGTAAGTCATTTGACGATGCTGGTACTGTTGATAGTAATCAATTACCCCTGCGACTAGCTCCGGGAGATCGAGCTCAAGGTCCAAAGAGAGATCCAGGAGAAGAGACAGGAACTCTTGGCCAAAGAAGAGTCCCTCAGGTAAGGTTTAGCTCCCGCTTTATATCAATGTTTTGCTCATTTTCTCGCGCTAGGAACCTGGAATCTCGCCTTGCTGCCCAAGGTTCATCCTACGACCCGGCGTACGACGGGAGGGATTGATGCTCCCGTGCACAGCCTTCTGTTCCGGGGTGATGTGTGCTCGGTGTATACCCATTCAGGTCTTGAAAAATCTTATGGCTTCGCCATGTCCGGCCATATCGCTGGTTGTTTAAGTCTCCTGTCTTTTGGACCGTCGTCTTCGGGGCTGCTTTTCCTGGCACTTCGTTGTTGACTGGATGTTTATGTTTTGTTGCAATAGGGACTTCCTCCACACCAACCGTGTCCATTCCTTTCAGACGTAATATCCTGCCTGTCTATCCTACTTGCGCTCTTGAGTGTTTAATGCACTTGTGATACTTGACATTGCAGCTGCGACCTCATGCATTGAGAGTGTGACGTTTCTGTTCGTGATAAGATGTGATCAAGCGAGCTGGTGATGATCAAGTTAGGAGGCGTTCCACAGGTCACAGGTCTCCTCCCAGCCGTCGATATGACCCTAACATTACTGGTGAGACGCACGGAGCGCTGCAGCTGAGCGCGCGTCGTTATTTCTGGTATTCCTTCCATGACAGCTGTCTTGAAGCACTGAAAGGCTTTCGGCAGTTCGTCGATAAACGGTTCATCCTTTGGATGCTGGATCCTTTGCCATCTTTTCCCTGGCCCGAGCCTTGGCTAGAAGCTGGTGCTCCGAATACCCACGGGGAAGGTACTATTTGGGAGAATTCGAAGGCATCTCAGCTTCGCAGGCTTACCCGTCGCCCGCAATATCTGGCCGCTTTTTACCCTGCGTCTATCTCTACCTCGGTCAGTGACAGCACCCGAGAGCTACTGCTGGCACGTATTGGCGTTCTACGGGCTCGTCGACGCCGACGAAGATACCCTTAAGCTTGCTTGACTGCTTGTTTTGTCCGTTGCCGTGGCTTTCCAAATTAGGCTACGACAATTGAACAACGCTCTGTTCGGCCTCTGCGCCTTGCGCCAGGGGTTGCTCAATCATTGGTCGCAGTCAAGTCCTTTCGAGTCTCGTCGAAGTCGGCACGCTATCGAAAACCGAATAGTAGCAGGTGTACCTTGAGAATCGGCCGCATTCGCGCGACAAGGGGAATAACCCATCCGGAACATTGCAGCCATAGCGAGCCGGTACTGCTCGGCTATTGTCCTTGCACCTATTCTCTTACTTTCGCTGCTCGTGAACCTGCGCCATGGAACCTGCCTGGGAGACAAGGCCTGCTGTTGCTTCGCATCAGCAGCGAGATTGGACCTCTGGACACGTACCACCAACCTCTTTCGCGACGACTTCCACTGCGCAACGGCGGCGTTCCTCTATCGTTCACGCCCCACCAACACTTCCACCTCCATCGCAGCCTATCCCCAGCGTGCCAGCCCTCCATACACCCAACTATGATGAATATGATAGTGATTCGTACTTCGGAGCGACTGCGTCCACGTCTGAGGCTGGTGGCCGACCTTCCGATCCCTATGCGCGTCCTGGGGCGTCTGCCGGACTAGCTGCAGTGGCGGCTTTCTCGCAAGCACGACATCGCTCTTCCTCGAATACGTCCCAAATGTCGTCGATCTCGAGTTCTGCATCGCAGTCCCCACCCGGCAACTTGTCAGATTCCCCTCCCCCGTCTATGCTTCGTTCGACACTGTCAGTTCGACATCGTGCGGATGCAATGTCTAACCCCTCCTTCCTGATGCCACCGGAGACATCCGGAGGCAACGGTAACCGGCCGTCCTCTAGGCGGGCTCTCACCAGGGCGCTTGAATTGGCGCGTGAAGCAGTCAGGCTTGACTCATCAAATGACGATCCATACGGTGCCATCGTCGCCTACGGGCAGAGCGTGGCGCTCCTTCAGGAAGTAATGGGACGCGTAATGAGGGGCGAAGATAGCACTGAGTCGCACAGGAGACAGAATGGTCGACGGAGAAGTGTGGTCGCGCAGGAGGAAGAAGTCCGCAGGCTGAAGTCGATTGTGAGTTCTGTAAATTATTTCCAAATGACTCAAGCGCTAACTGTATGCCTATCGCTCCTTCTTCGCCGTTGGGTAGCACGACACGTACGCGGACCGAATGAATATACTGAGTCTAATCTACAGTATCCCAGCCCCTTCCCAATCCCCGACGTCCATAGCATCCCTATACAACTCTTCTGCATCGACATCAACATCCGCAGAATCAACCCAGCCTCCTTCGCCTGATTCGACTTCTCCGTCTTCGGATACCTCAGACCGGATACCTCGGACCCCGTCCTTGACAACAGACGAAGCGCGAAGCGTCGAGTTCCAACCAACCCTAGAGAGCGACTACAATAGCAATGGAGACGATGGCGATTTCGAAGAGGGTGTGGATGCAATCGGAACCGCGCTATTCACTTTCGACATGTCACCTACTAATCCTGTACCCATCTCCCCGACAAAAGTACATATCACAGCTTCCTCACATCCTTACGCCTCAGCACACCCGTTGCCTTCGCCGTCGAGTTCCTCAGGGACACCCTCCATTAGCGTTTCTCGAAGCCCCAACTTACCCCCGCCACGACCCGCCCCTACTGCCCCCATCCCAGGGCGACCACGAGCATCGTCGACATTGCCACCACCCGCTCCCCCACCTATTCAGTCACCGCCACCAGCGCCGGTCGATCTGGGTTCAGAGTCTCCTGCTGAAACGTTCTCCACTTTGTACAACAAACATCTGGACGTGGGCCGGCCGCGCGGCAGCTCTACGAACCACAGACGGTCCCCTTCGGGAAGGTTGACGCCGCTGGGCGAGGACGGTGGAGATGCTCCTACACGGACACAACAGCAGTATAACAATGAATCCCGGTCAAGAGCAGGGTCTCATCCTGTATCTCGAAACAACCGCGAGTCGCATCCCTTGCCGCCTTTGCCGCCTGCCTCACAAAACGGCTCGCCAATTACTCCGCGTCTCCCCGTCGGCGAGCCCATGTCTCCACAGTCCCCTGGGTTTGCTAAGTCAAGGACGGGATCAAGTCTGTCGGCACAGTCGGACATGTCGGCAACGACGCCCAAACCGCTATCGAGAGTGGGTTCAAACTTGTCTGTAACATCGAATGCGTCAACATCAACATCTTCGTCGACGCAGCCCCTCATCAATGCATCGACCACTATGGGTACGATCTCGCAGCGCAGGTCAAAGGCATCCGCGCCACCTTCAGCGGCCGGATCCCCGCCTGATCTGGCAGGACCTTCTGCATATCCTCAGGGCGCTGTTGCCAATCTACCTGCCAGCACTGCTGCCAGTCTAGGTATAGGCGGGCGGTCCAGATCCTCGTCTCAACCTGGACGCCGACCGTCAGGCTCCCAGGTGGTAGACTATACTTCACGCCCGCCTATGCCCGCGACGGCAAACAGCTTGTCAGGAATGAACAACGCTCCGCGGAAGGTTTCGATTCCTTCGAAGCTCAATCCCCTCGCTCAGGCTCTGTCGATCAACACAGCGCTGCTATCACCTCCCCTGCCATCATCGACATTGTCCCTCGTCCCCCCTCCGCCGATCCCGCATGGGAACTTACCCACCACCCCGACATCACCTTTGCCCCCCTTACCCCCAAATGACGCTTTGCGAAAGCCTTACCATCTAATGAGCCTACTCCGCCAGACAATGTCGTCGAAGACCGGCGGGTACATCACGAGGCGTTTGCATGTCCCATATGAGGTCTGGTCACAGGGTGGTGTCAAGCTGAACAACCTAGCCGAGAAAGTGCGAGTAGTCGAAGTACTCTGCTCAGCCCTTGAAGACGTGGAGAAGTGCAGCGCAGAAGTATTTGGCGCCGGAAATGTCAGCAGTGGTATGGGCCTGGGGATCGGCAGCGTCGGTCGGAAAGAAGGTGAATCATGGGCAGCCAAGTTGGACGACTTCTCTTCGGTTTGCGATAGTGTTGTCGCTAACTTTGGGAAGAAGCTTGGAGTAGGCGAGGGATTTGCGTTGCAGAAAAAGAGTGGTGTACGTGCAATTTTGCTCTCGCTGACCAAGGCCTTTGGCCGGTAGACATTGTCCGGTATACTGACATGATTATCCGTAGATGACATCATGGGGGGGCAAATTGACCCGGCAATTTGACAAGTTTACCGCCGGTAAAAAGTACGTGATTTCATTAGCCTTTCATTAAAGCCGCGCAAGATCGCTCATGTGATATGCGATTGCAGCCTCGATTCGCCAACTGCATATACCCAAGGTCTATGCCGGCTGTTCTCTCAGGCGCAGTTGCTTGACGAGCATACAAAGGCCATCATGTCGCAGGCTCCGACGTACGCGGCCTTGCCTGCTGATATACGGACTGCCCTGGATTTCAAGCTGAAACATGCGTCGGACTTTTTCGCGCGGGTCGTTTTGACGTTCGTGATCAGGGACCTGTCTCTCCTCCTTGACAAGTACGCAAAGAAATGTGAAAAGTGGCTCGCGGAGTAGCTTTCGTGCTCTTTCTGTACTCTTACCTGTCGCCTCGGGACATCTGGTTTTGGGGGGCGTCCCGGTTTTGATGTATTTTATTACCTATGGATTAGATAGCGAGTCTGGATCTTTACCTCCATCTGCTTCAAGTTTCTCTCTTTTCATTCATTATGTCGGTTCCCCAAGGTCCATATCCTGAGTACACATCCTGAAATGTGAGTAGGCGACGCGCCCCGCCTGTATGTTAATCGACGCCTCATTATGCTGGAGCAGTAGTATATAATGCAACATTAGTTCTTGATCGCTCTCTCTTGTATCAAAATGCTATAGCTACGCCCCGAACCCGGTTGGAAAATCGAGAGAATCAAGGCAATAGTGCTATTATACATGTACAGTGAAGAACTTGTGATGATACACTCAACGAGACGCTGCGAATGCTACAAGAAGTTAGGTCGATAGGCACGAAACAGGGAAGGGTATCAATGAGCGTAGTCTGGCGAGACCGCTATAGTGCTGAGTCTGATGTCACTGCAGGGGGTATATTAGGTCCGGACACCTCAGGAGGCTCGGGGGTTGGCGATCTGCCTCTCAGGCGGTTGAGAACATGCAGACGACGAACTGAATGAGCCCGTAAGTAGAGCCAGAAGCCAAGACTATCGCAATACTGACCACAGTCGACCCTCACGTGTTCGTCTGCCACGGTTTCGTCGTCGGATTCTAGAGCTGGATCTGTGCTGCATACGGTATGCCAGGCGTCTAATTGACCATGAGTTATCCTGCGGAGGGATGAACCGAGGATGTACACTCACGCTCCAACATCGTCCTCTGGTAGACGAATAATGGTGCGAGAGTAGGTACGGGGGGCACTCGGCGACGCTTGGTTGGTCTTGCACTAGAGCCCTCGTCAGCTCGAGGTCTGCCGCATTGAGGGGCCGACGGCTGGGAATTCTGCCATTCCGCCGGAATCAGACGGTGTCGAAAGTCGGGAGCAGATGCAGCTCGAGTCAGACCGGGTTGGTAGCCGCCCTGTTCGAGCATAATTGAAACTTCAGACCCTGGCAGCGGTTTCTATCAGGCGTGACAGGATATGTAGGATTTCTGAGGCAAATACCTTCCGGATGGCCTGTCACGTTTGTAACATCCGTCTCAGCAGGCGAGACACTCCTGCGCACTGCCTTCTTGCCCGTTTTCTTGCCCCTGCCCCGACCGGAAGTGCTTGGACCTATCGACTTGCCATTCTCATCCCCCGCGCTCCCGCCGGCAGCAGAATCTGCGCTTTCCAGCACAACATCGGCCTGCTTTTGCACAAACAGCCTCCGCTGCTGGCGCATGCGGTTCCCCCACTCGACTTCCTCTGGCGGGTCGACGTTCTCCGTGCTCTCGTGGTCTATCGGCAGCACCTCGAGCATGGGCGCCTTGCCCGGGTTCTGCGCCGCGTAGTCGTCCGCGAAGGGGTTCGGGATGGTGTGCTCTTCCAGGTGGTGGTAGCAGAGCCAGAGGAATACGCGTGCGCGCGACGCGGATGTGAGCGTCGTGTTGGTGAAGAGGTCCAGGAAATCCAGCGAGGATCCGGAGGGGAAGTGCGTGCGGCCGAGGGGCTGCCACAACGTAGGTGAGAGATGTGCGGTAAGCAGAGAGGACGAGACAAGTACTAACCAGGGCGTGGTTTGCCATTGCGAAGATGAGGTTGACCACTGTGGTTGGGGGTATTTGGCCGGACCGCTAGAAGGGGCCATTGAATGCGCGTATTTGACGCCCGAAGGAAAACGACTCACAGCCCGTGTAACAATATCAAGAGGGGTGGCTTGTCCGCTGAGTTCTCCGGGCAGTAGACATGACTTGAGGATATTCTTGATGCGGGGGGCGTCCTGGAGGTTACCATCTGTCTTCTGCAGAGACGGGACGGGATGATATGTCCTGAGGGTGGTGCGGAGCTCTGGAAAGACTACGACATGCTTTAGCAGAGTTACACATATAGTTGGCTAGATAAACAGCAGATGATCGCGATACTACAACGGGATCCAGCGGGACGAGAAGCCATCATGCACAGCGCAAACAGAGTGGTGATGACCGAAGAAACAGCGAGGCGCGTGTCGTAACGCGATCAATGCCAGATTATTATAGGCGGAGGTACTCACAAGCCATGGTAGTGTTGATCCTTCCAACATTAGCAAGCAAGGCAATCTTTGCAAAGTCAGTCCCGAACGCTGGGCTCTCGAGCATCTTGTCCCTGAGCCCCTTCGAGCACCGGGGGGACTGCAGCAGCGCATTCACGTACAAGTCCCGAAATGTCACTTTGGTGCCGGGCGGATGGCCATGGAGGGTACGGTACGGATCTGTGAACGCAGCATTGCGGTCGTCGAAGATGTTGAACAGCAAGTCGTACTGGATGTCCGCGCGAGTGAGAGGCTCTCCGTCGACATGCTTGATTGCGAGTGTTCGATTGCGATGAGATGCCTGCGACCTGCGCCCGACGAGAACTCAGTGCCGTCCCGCGCAGAACAAAAAAAACTCACGATGAATGGGGCATTTCCTGGTGCCAATCCAGAGGAACTGGCGGATGGGTGCCCTCAGACATGGGACTCGTGCCGCTGGCAGCGGCCACAGGGCTTTGGCGGATGGGGTGGCATGAATGGAAAGGACCCGATCTGCAGAACTGCGAACCGAGACACCCGCCGCCGCCACCGAGCCGGTTCGTGTGCTGGTTCGCGAAGCCCCGCGTCGAGCGCGTCGCACCGAGCGGACGAGAACGTTCCTGCTCCAGCAGTCCACATCATGTTCTCCACCTCTCAATTCTGCGCACTCATCCTTTTCCCGAACAGAATCAATATGTGATCACCACTGACATAAAGGACCGGTGGGTGTAAATATGCCTGCAACTCTTTGGTCGAAACTGAACACAATACACAACACAGCTAGACTGGCTCTACGGAAGCGCGTTCTAAATCGCACAATGTCGTCTCGAACCGGAGATGCAAAGGAGATTCTTTCTCCGTACATGTATCCCTTGGCCCTGGATCAGAGGGCGTACGATCCCCTGCTTGCTGCCATCGGTGCGGGTAGCGCTCCCTCAGAGTAAGGCAGTAGCACTGATAGTGACCCCAGGTGACGCCGAAGTTGTACTCATCGGAGATGGCTCGCATGGAACGTACGAGTTCTATGCGCACCGAGCAAATCTCACCAAGCGTCTCATTGAAGAGAAGGGATTCAACGCGGTGGCGGTGGAAGCAGACTGGCCAGACGCATTCAGGATTAACAGGTACATCCATGGCCTCGCGTTGCGAGACGGGAACATCAAGTCAGCGAGGGACGCCCTCAAGGACTTTGAGAGGTACGAATTGCTGTCTTCTTTCACTGATTTAGCATCTCAATCCTCTCCTAGATTCCCAAAGTGGATGTGGAAGAATGAAGTCATGCCCACATTCGTCGAGTTCCTGAAAGAACACAACGAGCGCGTTATGAAGGAGACGAGCGACCTCTCACATACCGTATCCTTCTTCGGCATGGACCTGTACTCCCTGCACAGATCAGCAGAGGCAGTCGTGAAATACCTGGACAAGGTAGATCCGAAGGCGGCTGAACGTGCAAGGAAGCAGTAAGTCGTACGTTTGGGGTGGTGTTATTGTAAGGTGTAATGATGTACGCGTTCAGATACAACTGCTTCGAGCGCTTCGGTGAAGACACCACGCAATATGCCTTAGCAGTACAGTTTGGCCTTAATAAGGTATGCCCACTGATTATCATTACCACCCGATTGCATCGTGACTGACGACGTTTGAAGACATGCGAATGTGAGGTTATGGACGTGCTAGGCCAGCTGGTGAAGAATAACAAGAAGTACATCGAGGATCAGCTCCCAGAGGGGCCACACCGAGCCGCACATCCAGCAGAAGAACAATTCATGGCTGAGATGAATGCCCTAGTCGTCAAAGACGCAGAGGAGTACTACCGATGTATGATGTCCGAGGACGTCGAGACCTGGAACCTGCGGACGACCACTTCGCGCGCACACTCGTCAAAATCAGGGAGCACCTCGGGCCGCAAGACGGCGACGGCAAGCGGCGCCCCGCGAAACTCGTTGTGTGGGCGCACAATTCGCACATCGGCGACGCGCGGCACACGGACATGGGCTGGCGGCGCGGCGAGATCAACGTCGGACAGCGCTGCCGCGAGGTCTTCGGCGAAGATAACGTGTTCAATATTGGCTTCCTCACGAACCGCGGCACCGTGACCGCTGCAGCTAATTGGGACGAGCTGCCGCGTTTGTATCAGATGAACCCGCCGTATGAGCGCTCGATCGAGAAAGTGTTTGACCAGGCTGCGACGGACGATTTTTTCGTTATCACGCACCGGATAGTGAAGACTGGTAAGGGGCAGACCCAGAAAGTGCAAGAATCAGAGGAGCTGTCTAAGTAAGTCCGCCCCTACCATCCTGTTCTGTTGTCATGCTTAAGGCCCTTTGTCTAGGTTCCTCAACCAACCTCGGTACCAGCGCTTCATCGGGGTGATCTATCGCCCACAAACGGAGATACCGTCGCACTATTCGAGATGCAGCGTGGCTGACCAGTACGATGCCGTGGCGCACCTCAAGTATTCAAGGGGTATCTTACCTCTGGAGAAGGAGAACACGGAGAAGGACATGAAGCACGGCGAGGCAGATCTCACCTTCCCCTTCGGACAATGAGGTCGAACTCAGTTCAAGTGGAAGTAAAAGGAAGAGAAGTGTATTAGTACTTGTCTAGTGTATTTTATATTGGTGCCGGTGTGATTGTGTCTATCGTATGAGCTAGGACCCTCTGTCCAGAATGTCAGTTGCAAGAGATGCCTGTAGTGGGCCGGGGGGCTTACTGGCAGTGTCCTGTCATGAATGGACTGAGCTGGCAATTCCTCGCTGCCTTCCTTCCGGTATGCGATTCAGAGGAATGGTCCCTTCACGGTGCGCCATCCTTTACTAATAGATTACGTCGATGCCTCCTCAATCCTCAATAAACACGATATACATGTACAACCATCCAGAACAATAGGAGCTCCTGTAATTAAGTGGAAAGGACCAATAGCTCCGACAACTATAGAGAAATGAAGTAGATGCGGTAAATGATACATTTTGCGAAGCGGACCGGACCAGTAGAATAACAATAAGGGAGAGTACAGAAGGATATCAAGACGCGAGTATGGTATTTGTGAATTATCCAACATGCCGATGCAGAAAATCGACGACAAAAGAGGAAAAGAGTATGCACGCACTGCCAGCAACATGCGGTTACGAGAGGTCTTGCCAGTACCGCTTCACTCGTTCGAGAACTTCTATGACGACTGAGCTCCTGAACATGAGGCTATGATCGGCGCCGGACACGACGTTCACTTCGCATCTGTCTTCACCCATGGCCTTCTCCATCCATCGGACGGAGTTCTCGGCTATCCTCTCATCTTTGTCACCGTACCATACGTTGACGCGATGCGGATAGGTGGAATAGGAGAAACCCCAGGGCTGGTGATCGTGGTTTAGGATTTGGAGTAGGTCAGAATGGGTGCCCTTTGACGACTCGGAATGGGACGCTGCAATGAGGGCGTTACCGAGAGCCGTCTGGTAAGACATCTCAGAACTATCGTCATTTGGCTGAGCGGTGAAAGTACTGGAAGTAGGAGAGGGCTTCAAGGATCTAGCTGCTCTGGGAGTGGTAAGAGAGATCGACCTTCGACCAGCGGACCGTGGGCGGCAACGGCTGGTGTCAGCTTCATGAGCGGCATTGCCTTCCACAAAGCTCGAGATGGCAGATTGGATAGGCCAGTCGATAGCATCGAAGCCCAAGCCGAATTCAACGTTCAGGGGATCCGGCAACTGCGGAGATTCTGTGGGGGCTGCGACCTTGGACAGAGTGCTGGGAACAGAGCTAGCTTTGCTCTTTAATGAGGTCATGGACTTTAGAGGCCTTATTTTCTTCCCTGATACCAATGGACTCTGAGGTTGCGAAGAATCTCCTCTAAGTCTCCCAAGAAAACCTTTTGACGTCTTCCGCTTGCCGGCTAGACCTTCGCTTGAAGAGCGATTGAGCGCCGGTCCTTGCCGGGCACCAAGGGTACTTCGGCTCTCAAATCTGCCTGCGAAGTCCGCAAGGTCGTCGTACTCGCTGAAATTACTGGATCCAACACTAGGCCTTGGTCTACTCTCAAGCGAAGGGTAGACGTTACCCAAAGATCGATCGTGGTGGTCTCCATCTCGTTTTGACGCCTCCCTCTTGAGATGCGGCGGGGGATCTGGGGTGTAGCCAATACCTTGATATCGGACTTTTGGAGGCTTCCCCAGCATCCACCCTTGCACCTTCCATTCGGCTTGCTGGGCGGTCTTCAGGATTCCATTAGGCACATATTTCAGCCACTTGTAACCGGCTTTAAGTATCGTTAGTCGCGACACCTTTGTGAAACTGTCCAGTAACGTACCGCCTTCTCCGCCGCCAATCCACGGTGCTAACAGGCATATGTCCCCCCGGATGCGCTCCGGCGCCTTATTCGCGAATGCCAGGGCATACGGGGCTCCAGCAGAATGTGCCATGATGCTACACTGATGGATATTGAGTCGATCAAGTACCTCCTCTACGACGGTAGCCCATTCGGGAATCCCTCGAGCTGTCTTTGAGCGTGGGGTTTCAGTGCGACCGAGTCCCCAGCTAGAGGGAATTCAAATCAGCGGTGATAGGACTCGCGGCCTTTGTTGGAACGTACCGGTCAATGGTAATGAGTCTGATGCCCAGGAGATCGGCCATCTCGTCATACAAGCCCATGATGTGGCGGACGCAGCCCAAACCCAAGAAGACCACCAGAGGCACACCCGTTGGACATCCCAGATCCGAAAGACTTATAGTCAGTGGCTTATCGGCCGAAGCGTGGGGAGACCTAGTCAGCTTTAGGAGTGTCGTCAGTCGTGTAGAGTTTAAGTACTGGGCAATTTTTTGGGACTGGGTGGGCTGCATGGCAGCAGCGAGACTGGCGATTGGCGGCTGATCCACGTGCGTCGAAGGAGTGGACGAAGAGTACAGAGAGGGCTCACGTATGACGCCAGACACGGGAGAATGCACGCTAAACCCATCATCCGAGGCGATTGAATGACGCTTAGGAAATGTATGAGCATGTTGCAAGTGCCGCGGCATAGTAGGTGAAACACTCTGTTTCCGGATGGTATCCTGGATCTCCTGGGCGATACTGTCGATGGACGACCGAGAAATGAGCTCAGCTTCCTCTTCAGCCGTCAGAGGTTCTGGCTCTGGTTCTTCTTCTTCCTCGGCTACCAAAGTATGGCCATTGCTATTGCTGTAAAAGCTATGCCCATGCGAACTGTAGGTAAATGATGATGCCCGGGATGACCCCGGTCTCGATGATCCGGGCCTGGAGCTTGTCCGCTGAACAGTAGGGGCATGTGCTTGGATGATTTCCGTGATCGAGGGCACTATCGTCTTCCTCCGGACTTCCTGTCCCTTCTCATGCTCATTTTCTAGAGAAGGGAATCTATGCTTCATACTTGGGGTGGTTTGCTCGGGCTCCTGGCCGCCCTCTGCACTTTGGAGTGACCGTGGCGAACTGACACTGACGACGGTACTGGAATCCACCTTGGAGGGAGAGGAAGCATGGCGGACTTTCCGCCGAGGAGGTCGTTTGGTACGGGCTGGCTTGGGACTGTCGTCTTCGCTGTCGGAGTGTGCAGGCGGAGAGGTATCCCTTCTCGGACCTCGGCCAAGAACGACCCCAGGAGGAGGGGTAGGTAGCGGAGGGTGATATAATGGGTGGTGGCCCTTTCGCCGCTGCTTTGAACGGCTTGGACTTGGGACACTACTCACATTCATGCACGACTCGTCGTCCCCGAATCCGTTCATTCCATCGACCAAGGCATCCATGGTTTCAACCCCCGCTATCGGAGCAGCCACAACCACAGAAACACGTCCCATGGTACTGCGGAAGGGTGATGTGTCGAGTGGTGTCTGAGGAGGACTCTCTTCTACTTGCGTTTGTGTAGAAGAACCTGAGATGCGATATGCAGAGCCAAGTTGGCTCCCTCGCCAGTCAGAACTAACCTGTGACAAATTAGCTCTCTGACGAGGGCGGGAAACTTTGACAGTGGAATCATAGTCGTCATCAAGATAGTTCTGCAAACTGCCCATATTGGGGAAGGCATACAGTGCCTCGTCGGAAGGTGTCCATCGTCCTTTCCGCGTCCCATCTACCTGGATTCCACTGCTATGGGGTAAACTCCGTGAGCTGGAAGCTTGGCTCGGTGACCGTCCAGTACGACTAGGAAGAAAAGCCTCCGGATTGGTATTGCTCGAGCGCCCGGAGTGTACGTGGACGTGCGGTATATATGGAGCACTCTTCTGGGATGATGGGGGCGCTCGATCCTGTATATCAGCGGAGTAGCCGGCCTCCGAAGGCTTGCTCTTGTCTCGCTTTATAGACAATAACGAGGACTTCTTGCGCGGTGCACGGTGGGAGGAAGGACGCGAGTCGGTCGCGAAAGACGGTCGGTTGGGAGTCACTAAAGAGGCCATTATCCACAGAAGTAACGAGCGTAACTTGAAAAGGAGTGACTATACGCCCATACAAAGGAGGGTCAGACAGGCGCAGACCTGCAGGGTCGTCCAACGGACAGAAGATGAAGACGTCGAAGGCCTTCGCTGGAAAGCGTGGCCGAACGAGTGGCTGTGCATCCTCCTTATTATTGCGTCTCTTATTTACCAGTTCCCCGCATAGCGGCCTGTTGCTTTTGCGCTCAAGGGTCAAGAAATACAGTCCACACCATGACTACGGGGATGTGCAGAAGGCATGGAAGACGGCAAATCATACAGAGAAGTCCGCGAGGATAGTACACGTTAGTAATACAGTGCCTGTCAAAATAGGATATTAGGCTACAAGATGCAGGGGGGTTGAGGTAGATATACAGTTAACGTCCGATCGAGCCATTGGCGCGCAAGCTGGGCCTCGATCCAAGTTCCGATAAGCTGCGCGAATACCTGCTATGGATAGACAGCGTACCTCGGGCAATCATCACAGATGTGAACGGAGGAAGACGTTGGCGAGTTTGATGCCCCGTGCGGCGCATGCATCGATTACCTGCCTGCCCATCGCTTCAGACCAGTAACTGAACGGTGGAGCATGGGTCCCAGGCGGAGTCTTCAGGTGCTGCAATGATGGCAATGCGCCGGAGCCGATGAACGCGGCCCACTCGTTGGATGTCACCCGGACGACCCTCCCTTCCACCGAAAGCTGCTCCAAATTGCCGCAGCGCTGTCCGATGGACGACAACGTTCCCAGATTGACGTCAAGTCCATTCAGGCGCAACTCCCGAAGGGCCGGGCAGGACACCAGGCTATCGTGGAAAATGGCTTCGTCCAAGTGGACGTCCCGGACGTCATAATGAAGACTCTCAAGGCTGGGACCGCAATGGGAGAGTAAGAGCCGTATATGACGATCGAAGTCCGAGGTGCACCGCGCTTCTATGCTCAAATGTCGCAGACTCGACCAGTCGCTAGACAGCTGGTGAAGATGGCCGACAAGCACCTCTACTCTCTCCACGTTCAGTTCGGTAAGCTGCGGGATGGGTGATGCTGAGGGAAGGATGTGGAGTTCAATATTTGAGAGCCGAAGACTCGTCAACTTCGTGAACCTGCCGCACAGCTCGTGGTCCCACGTCAAGGACGCTGGTTGCTGGTACCGCGAGCATCCATATCCAAGCCTGCGCTGCTTCCCATCAACATGTAACTCCTCGAGGGAGGTAGAGTTTATCCAGGACAGAAATCGCTCTGCCCTCACAGCCAAATCTGCGCCCAATGTTACGCTCCTCAGGCTGTCAAGGCCCAGTAACAACTTGACACTCTCCATATCATAGCATGCTATCCCTCCGCTGTTATATTCCGCGAAGGGACGTAGGTCCATTTCGCGTATTAAAGCAGAATATTCCGGGCGTTCGGAAAGCGTTCGCGCGAGGAGCGTACATGCGCGATACGAGCGTATGGTCGGGCATGTATACAGGCGCTTGCGAACGGGAGCTAGCCACTCTGGCGAGATTAAGGAGAGGCGCAGGTAATCGCACGGCCACCAGTGGTTGTTGCTGTCAAGTATAAGGGGGATCAAGTCGTCGACTATGCGGGGTAAAGAGCCTGCGTGGGGGTCCATGGCAATCGGGGCGCTGCGGTTCGCTGGGCAGCTCTTCTCAAGTAGTGGCCAAACGTTATGCAGACGACGGTGCGCCCATCTGGGGTGAATATATCAACGTCAAGTGACAGTTCTTCGTTCTCGGAAGGGTCTAACACCCACCGAATTCCGAATTGCAGGTGAACGCGGCCGCTCCTATCTACAAGCCTCCGTCCTGTCTTGCAGGCGGCTCAGGTTTCAGACTAGCTCTGGTCTTAAGAAAGGGATGTTCTCGCATGCACGCCTGTCTCAGCCTGAAGGCTACCTGCAACAAGTCCAGGCACGGGGTGTCGCAGTACCAGTCACAAGTAGTCCAGCAACGTTAACAGACCCGAACTGTGGGCTGGGAAGGCGCTCGCGATTGGCGTGAGGATGTCCATCTTTGCCCATCGACAATCGTCACAGCTTGATAGAATTCGGGGACCGCTCGGGCGACTCGATGTACAAAGTTCCAAGCTTCAAGCTTCAAGTATAGACAGGGCAAGAGATGACAGGCGTGTCCACCGGTTATACTTAACACGAATCCTGATACCACACTGAACGATGCCGTTGAACTCAAAACCATGTCATATACATAGAAACGCTTCAGCGTTCGACTTATCTCTTCCACGGAGATAAGCAATTTATGGCAGCCTAGCTGCGATGTGCGCTTGATATCATACGGGTGACATTATCCCTGCTTGATTTTTTGCGGGCGATAGGCTCAAGGGGCAAGGATCCATCACTGTCCAAACTGCCCTGCAATGCCCTCAACATCCCAGATTCAATATGTACAGGCGCAGGAGAAGCCCGGTGGTATAGAAGGCAAGCAGTCCGGATCCAGCAATATAGTGACCGACGATGTCTTCGGTGATGAAGAAGGGCACCAAATACGCTACAAGACCCTCAGCTGGCAGGTACGATTATCATCAAACTTGCCAGATTCAAGTTCTCGAGATGACTGTCACGGTTCTCCGAAGGTCGTGAGCCTGCTGATGATCGCTGAGATAGTCAGCAATGGGATGCTCTCACTACCGAGTGCTTTGGCGGTTGTTGGTACGTGCCTCTAGATATGACGCTGTTATTACTTCTCATGGGACGTCGACGCTGTGATAGGTATTGTTCCAGCGGTTATTTTGATCATATTTCTTGGAGTGTTTGCCTTGTTCACGGCCAAACTCTTGATTGACTTCAAACTGAATCATCCGGACGTCCATAACATGGGTATGTACCTAACCGTGAGCGTGGTGGACAAATTACGAACCCTGTAACAGGAGATGCCGGTTACATTTTGTTCGGTCCGGTAGGACGGGAGATCCTGTCTATTGGGACCATTCTATTCGCCATATGTGCATGTGTACGCAGCTCTCCTTTACATGCTAGGCCAGTCGGCTAACCGTCAGTTCTCGGCAGGGCTCCGAATTATTGTCAGGCCAACAAGCATTGTCCACGTTGTCGAATCAGGGCCTATGCACGATGTATCTGCTCCTGATCTTTGCCATCGCTACGTATTTGTTTGCAGTTCCTCGCACATTGGGTCATTTGAGCTTTCTGGGTCTCGTAAGCTCTCTCTTGATACTCGCTGCAGGAGTTATCGGGATGGCGGGAGCCGGCGCAAACCCTGTTCCAGGCCGTGTTATTAACGCGACGATCTCTGGCACCTTCTATGAGGCGTTCCTTGCTATCACAAACCCTGTATGTGTACTTGTCGTGTATGCTGCCGCGAACGAACCACTAAACCTTGTTAGGTCTTTTCGTATGCTGGTAATCGATATCCTTCTACGTTGTATGCATTGCGCAACTAATAACCACTCAGGACATTTCATGTGACCGTCCTTGCCTATGATGGAAATCATTGAGTCTCATGCATTCGATAACTATAGGTTCTTCATGCTGATGTCCGAGATGCGCCGTCCTCAAGATGCTATGAAGGTCCGTTCCTTCGAGTCTCCGTGATAGGTCATCCGGACCGACGTTCTTATGATCCACAGGCCGCTTGGTGCCTGCAAGGCTTTGCCACGCTATTTTATGTCGTCTTCAGCGTGGTTATGTATATCTACATCGGCAACACCGTACAGTCTCCCGCTTTCTTCTCTTTATCACCCCGATGGGCGAAGGCAGCCTTTGGCATTGCTCTGGGTAATTTTCTGATGTATGTCGACCTGCTGTTTCTGATACAACCGCTTATGTCTATTGCTGAAGCTCTGGCGCTCTGTACACCCACACCGCAGCCAAGCTTATCATGATCCGATTTTTCCGCCATTCACCACACATCCATTCTCACACGATCCTGGGATGGCTCGCTTGGCTGTCATTATGCTTTGGCACAGTTGGTGTGGCTTTCGTCCTGGCCATCGCAGTCCCCATTTTTTCCTACCTGATCGGTATTGTCGCCGCCCTGTTTGCATCTTGGTACACATACGGAGTGGCAGGATTTTTCTGGCTGCACGACACTTACTACCTAGAGGGCGGTAGGACAGCTCTCACAAGGAAATGGGCAGGCACAACCCTAGCAGTGCTCAGTGTGTTGTTGGGTGCATTCATCTGTGTGGCAGGAACATATGTTTCTATCAGAGTAAGTGAAGACGCCGTCTATTTATGTGAACTCGAGACTGAACCTTAATGGCCAGTTAATAGTAAAATCATATGCTTCTGGGGACGTTGGTCGCCCATTCACTTGTTGACATTCTGACACTTCTTCGCGAACGTCCCGGCACAGTATCAACCTTTGATTGGTGACACACGGATAATTATATTTTTTCTTATGCACGAATAGGATTTCACCGTGAATTGTATGTCTGCTCTCACTGCTTAACCAGACTGAGAATGAAAGGTTTCTTTGAACTACCCAAGGTTCTCATCCCGTTCGACCGTTACTGCAGGGACGCTCGGATTCAACATCGCGTGAGATAAGCAGAATACACTTTATTTCCCTCGAAGTACAGGAGTCTCAGACTGTACCAAGGGTTCTTTGGGCCGAAGGGGAAAAGCTTGTCTACCGCTTGTGAGGGGCTGGATACCCCAGACTCACTTTATGAGGGTACGGCCATGACAGACTCGGATAGCTGCATTTTACAGAGTCCTAGATAAGTGTATGCTCTTAGGATTATGAAAGTCCTGAGTTCACTGGCCACCTCGCTATTATCGCGCACGCCCAGCTAGAGAAGTGTGAATCGCCTGCCTTCAACCGGATGACGATGGAAAACGCAGCTCATGTCGCTGAATACTTACTTCATACAAAGCCACGTGTCTCCACCGTTGATGGACATTATGATATCCAGGGTACGATGCTCACCTGCAATAACTGAGCGATTATAGTGCGTGGGCCTTATTCCTCGCGTCTGGGAGAAGACTGCGGGTCTAGTTGCAATGACACCTATCATGCCAACGGAGGCTGGAGGGGAATTCGATGAGTCGTCAGAAGCACGCTCCCTACGTACTTTATACTGATGCTCATACATGGAGAGACTAAAGATGAGGGGCCCAACAAGTTGTGGACCACCTCGACCCTCAACTGAAGTCGCACTGTGCGCACCAGGCCGGCCTAAATTAGACCGGTAATGGGTCAATTTTGTACTTTCGGCCAAAAAGTGGTCGAATAAGGTCGAAATAGCTTGCCGTATGGAAACCAGTTGGAATTCCGAACTTGGGCATTTCATACGATAAACGGTCGAATTCTGTCTGTTGAATCCGCAGCAGCAGTCGTGAGAACCCACAGGTCGGAGTTCGAAGATCGGAATGATAGCCCCACTTGCGTCACTTGGTGACATGTTCAACTTGCCTCTGACCTCGACGCCGGCCCTTGCCATGCGCTCGCTGTTGCGCCGTCGTCGTCGCCGCCGACGCCGCCGACGCCGCAGTGAGCAGCTCCGCTGGTATACATGGCCCTTCTTCCCCGGTGAGCGTGTACTGTCGCAGGCTGATGATGGCCGCGGTTTGGTCACTAAGGTGCGTCCATTCTCTCGATCCTGCGTCTCGACGAAGTCTAATACGTGTCTGTGTCGTAGGCCTGATAGTTGTTGTAAAGTGAGTATGGTGCCCGTTGTACAATATGTTTACTGAATCTAAGATATCTTGACAGGATCGGTGTATCAACCACCTTGCCGCCATCTCCAGTGTCGAGCTATGCGAGTACGTGAGTGCTTCCTTGAGGCCGTGGTATGACTTCTACTGATCTAACATCTGGCAGGTAGTCTTTGTGTTGTTGCTGTTGGTAGGGATTTGAATAGGGAGCCCCGAGGAGGGGGGGCTGGGGAATGCATGGTTCAGGGTCAGGGCGGGTATGACACAGTTTGCTGTACTATTCTACATAGAGAATATACAAATATGTTGGTGCCTCAACTGCATTGCACACTGACTGCTAGGGGTGCCAAAGCCAAGGAATGGTGGTTTGCATGACCAGATGGAAATAGACCACTAAACGGTTGGAAAATGTCATTTTCGGCCGTTCTGAGGGGGGTCGAAATTCACAATTTGGTGGGACAAAATGATACGGTGTCTTTCGTACGGTAAGCGGACAATTTCAGCCTTCTACCGACCGAAATTCCGATTCCTCTAGAATCGGTTTACTGTTCAGTAGTTGTATAGGGCTCTCTGGTGATCGAGAAAGCGAGCGCTTAACAGGGGTTATACCACTTACAGCCCAAATTACTCGAAATGTAATAGGAGTACTGCTCATAAATGGTAGGTGGACCGATCCAAATCTTACCGCCACCAACAAATAGGAACTATTACCCCTTATGTCGAGGATTACCGTTTTGTGTGATGGAAATTAATTCCAAATATGTAGGGTGGCACTGTCAGGCATCCCCCGGCTGCCTAATGGCAAGCATCCTGTTGCCTACGGTACAAGCTATCACAGTGTTGAAAACATGCTGTATACAGTACACTGACTCTACAGTAACACTGATCGAGGGTGGCGGAATGCCACCCTAGGGCAGCGAAGAAGGCACTTGTTATCTATTCCTCAGATATATGTAACTGTAAAGCTTGACACCACTGGCAAGTATCTGATGGATCGAAGACTCTGACCGCACCGGCGGGCCGCTAACTTGAGAGTTAGAAGTTGATATCATTCAGTATCATTCAGGTCAAGATGAATAACTATGAGCATTGTTGATGCCGCGCAGCGCCCGGGGAGCAAGAAAGATTATTTCCCTGCTTGTAGAGTCCCTGCTGTGGGTTTACCATAGACTTTTATATGTGAGGAATCGGACCTGGCGTGCCGCGCAGCGCCGAATGCCTCCCAAGTTGATTTGTCTAGCGAACGAATATACCGGTCGATTTTAGACCGGTCTCACGCCTCCAGAGTCGGACTGCGGCCGCGCTAGGTACAGTAGCAAGTTAAACTATTGTTGAACCGTGACAATCGGTCCCAGGGAGTGTCGTTCTACTTGCTCACAGCGAGGTGATGGATGAGGCGTAGGAACACATAGAACTGTGATAGACACGTTAACATATAATATAGCTACCGTCTGAATCACAGGACCAAAGTGTCTCCGGTTCGTCGTTGCGTAGATGGGCGTATAACTGTCGGATCCTGACAAACGTAGCACCGTACCCGTGCGCGTATGCCTTCGTACTTGGGAGGTATTCGGCGCTGCGCGGCACGCCAGGTCCGATTCCTAACATGTAAAAGTCTATGGTAAACCAACGGCAGGGACTCTACAAGCAGGAAAATAATCTTTCTTGCTCCCCGGGCGCTGCACGGCATCAACAATGCCCATAGTTATTTCATCTTGACCTGAATGATACTGAATGATATCAACTTCTAACTCTCAAGTTAGTGGTCTGCCGGTGTGGTCAGAGTCTTCGATCCATCAGATACTTGGTGTCAAGCTTTACAGTTACATATATCTGAGGAATAGATAATAAGTGCCTTCTTTGCCGCCCTAGGGTGGCATTCCGCCACCCTCGATCAGTGTTACTGTAGAGTCAGTGTACTGTCTTCAACACTGTCATAGCTTGTACCGTAGGCAACAGGATGCTTGCCATTGGCGCAATTCCAGCCTCGATAATGATACCACTGCAGTAAAAAGAAAAGAAAAAGAAAAGAAAAAAGAACAAGGGGTGGCCGCTCCAAATATGGTTGCATGTGGCTGAAAGCATGCTTCTTCCCTAGCGAGCAGGTTATACATTGTACAACCTCTCGCTGCTCCCGTACGTTGCACGAGATGTATCCTAGGGTGCTGATCCTTCAATTTTTGAGGTGTAGTTCATTTTTTCTTCCCGGTCTTCGACCGGGTATCTAAGTAAATGTGTCCGGCGGGTTCACGATACTAGCACCCGCAGGTCTCAAGTAGCTACAAGTAAACAATACCTATTGGCATTCTGATGACAGTAGTACTACTCTCCGGGGATTTTGTAGTCGTTCACGCTCAAGTTGAAACGCTGAAGTCGTATATGGTGCGCCTGCGCGAGACGCAGAGTGAGCGGTTCCCACGATTAGAACCCCGCACAATATCGAGGGTGGCTGCGACCGGAACTCTGGGTGCACAATGCCCCATGAGATGGCGCCTGCTTTGTGGTTAGTATATCCTATAGGTACAACATGCTAGAGTACTCAAACAAAATCTTTGGATTTTATTGTGCAGGAAATCCCCGTATACAAGTCACTCATGATATTGAGCTGAGTTTGAACTGTGCTAATGGTTCGGCAACTCCCGCCTCACGCTCACAATACCATGGCTGATACGCCCGCGCCGACACAAGTTCAGGAAATTTACATTATTTAACTTCTACTATATATTGATTCTAAGAAGCT